CTTTCTTTCTTTCTTTACTTTCTCATTCCTCACAGCAGCCGTCCGGCTCGTGAATGCATCTCTTCTGCGACCTGAAATGTTTCCTTGTCGCTTCAGGGCTGTGGAAGCCTTTGCTGCGCCTCTTGTTGTTTTGCCTGGGCGGGAAGGAGGGAGGGAGGGCAGGAGAGCGGGGAGCTCAGGCACCTGCTGCTGGGGGGTCTTGAGCCATGGCGCGCAGGCGCAGAACGGCCCCTGCTCTGCCGCTCCCAAAGAAGCCCTCGCGTGACAGAGACTGTACCTTATGAAACTGGGCAGGGAGGGGGAGAGAGGGAGAGAGAACGCATTATGTGCGCATGCTCCCCCCACGCGCATATATATACATATACACACTCGGCCGCGCGCTCGACTTTGCTCAGAGGCGTGTCCAAGGAGGGAGGGAGGGAGTGGGCCGACTGTCGCAGGGAGAGGCAGGTAGGGAGAAGAAGGGGGGGGGGAACAAGAGGACTAGAAGGCGGGGCTAAAAGAGACGCCAATAAGAGCCCGGCGGATTTGGAAGGGAGGTCTTATTGGCGGAGCTGGGTGCCTTTCACGCGCGGAGGGGTAGGATGAAAAGCGAGAGGGGCGGCCTATGTGTGTGAGGGTGTGTGTGTGTGGCGCGCGCGCGGAGTGGAGGGAGGAGGGAAGCGCGCGCCTGGCAGCGGTCACGTGTTGTTTTGCTCTTCGCGGCGAGAAGTTCCTCGGAGGCGTCCGTGGTCCTGAAAGGCAGCGCTGAGGAGAAGGGGATGGAGCCGGCCGGCAGGGCCCTCCAGGCGGCGACGACGACGACAGAGGCCCAGGCGCCGCTTCCCCCTCCGCCGCCTTTGCCCCCAGACGTGCGGAAGACGGGCTACCTGCGCAAGCACCACAAGCACGGGCACCGGCGCTTCTTCGTGCTGCGGGGGCCTCCCGGAGAGGCCTCTCCAGAGGGACCGGCGTCGTCGTCGTCCTCGGCGCGACTGGAGTACTACGAGAGCGAGAAGAAGTGGCGCGGGAAGGCGTCTCCGGTGCCGAAGCGGAGCCTGGCGCTGGAGGGCTGCCTGCAGGTGCACAAGCGGGCCGACGCCCGGCACCGGCACTTGGTGGCGCTCTTCGCGCGGGGCGAGTCCTGGGCGCTGGCAGCCGAGAGCGCGGACGAGCAGGAGGGCTGGTACCAAGCCATCGCCGCCCTCCTCCCCGCCGCGGGGGGCTCTCCGCCCGATGAGGGCTGTGGCGGCGAGGACGACGAAGGCCTCGAGGACGACGCAGGGGGCGCGGAGGAGGGCTCCGGCGGGGGCTCCTTCCTGGAGGTGTGGCAGGTGTCTGTGCGTGCGCGCGGGCTGGGCCAGAGCCGGGGCCTCTCGGGCGTGCAGCGGCTGTGCCTGGCGCGGCGGAGCGTGGCGCTGGTGCGGCTGAAGGGCGAGCGGCCCAGCGTGGCCTTACCCCTCATGAGCATCCGCCGCTGCGGCCACTCGGACGGCTTCTTCTTCCTCGAGCTGGGCCGCTCCGCCGCCACGGGGCCCGGCGAGCTCTGGATGCAGGCCGGCGACGCCGTGGTGGCGCAGAGCATCCACGAGACCGTGCTGGGCGCCATGCGGGCCCTGCGCGAGCCCCGCCCCGCGCGCCCCCGCAGCAAGAGCCAGTCCTCCTCCTCCGCCTCCTCGGCCTCCTCTTCCTCCTCCTCCTCTTCCTCCTTCATGTGCAGCCGGCCCATCTCCGTCCCGGGACCCCGGCGGCACCCCCTGCCCTCTAGCAGAACCGGCCTCTTCCTCCGCCGCTCCAGGACGGACATCTTGGCGCCCCCCAGCGGAGAAGGAGACAGCCCCCTCAGCCCTGAGCCTGCCCAGGCACCCCAGAAGAGCTCTTCTCTAGCACCCCGAAGCAGCAGCAGCAGCACCCCCGAGACGCCCCCTCCTCTGGGCAGCTATGTCGCCATGGAGCGTGGCCATCCCCCCCGGAAGCGCACGCTCTCATTAACAGCGCCCACCCAGCCCTGCCTCGTACCCCTCGCCTCGGCCTCCCTGGATGAATACACCCTCATGCGGGCCACCTTACCTGTCAAGGCCTCCCCTTGCTCTCGGGCGGCCTCGGCGCTTTATCCTGAGGATTATTGCGACCTGGAGGTGGGCTCCTCAGGCAAGGAGGACACTCCCTACATGCCCATGGCCCCCAGGACACTCCCCGTTTTGCCCTTGCAGGAGGGCTGCGACACCTTCCTGTCCCTCAGCCCCACCGGTGTGTCTCTGTCACACCCGCTCCCCTACCGGATCAGCAGTGGGAGCTCCTCCGATGACAGCGGCTACATGCAAATGTGGGGCACTGGCCAAACCAGGCTGTCCGGGGAGAGTCCCGCCACCGGAGACTATATCAACATGTCCCCTTTGCTCTTCCCCCCCTTGTGTGGACCTTCTCCTTTGGCCTGTTCTTCGGAGGGCTACGGCACCCAGAGCCCCGGGGAGCAGTCCAGGTGCTTCTGTAGCGCTCCCTATGCCTCCTGGAGCCCCGGGGAAGGAAAGAACAGTGACCAGTATGTGCTGATGAATTCCCCAGGTGGGAAGCTAGGCCTGCCTCCCAAAGCAGAGGGCAGCCACACCGCAACGCCTTTCCCTGTGCGCCACAGCCAAACAGAGCCTTTCCTCAGTCGCCATTCTTTACGGTTGTCACTACCCAGCAGGGAGGATCCCCCCACCTTGAATGAACCCCAGAGCCCCAGTGGGGAATATGTCAACATTAGCTACTCCCAGGCACCACCCTTTGACAGCTCCACCTTCCTGCTCGGCTCTAGTTTGGGTGGTCGAAGCAGACCACAGGACTCCAGTTATACAAACATCACATCGGAAGGGTCGCAGTCGGGTGCCCTCTCAGTGGGGTCCCTGGAGGAAGCGCTTTTGCCAGAAGTCTCCCCTAGCCCTGAGTCGTCTGGCAAGCCTTATGTAAAGGTCGGGGTACAGCAGGCTTGCCTTTCCAGCCCACTTTCTGAGGCTGGTGACTACACGGAAATGTTTTTCACCACAGCCACTGCTCCACCCCAGCCCATCTCACATAAGCCAGAAACAGTCCGTGTGAGCAGCCCGGTGGCTGGCCTGAAGCGGCTTACGCTTTCTGGAATGGAGACCTTCCTCTTGGCCAGCCCTCCTCCTGATCCCAACCAAGGGGCCAAAGTCATCCGTGCCGATCCTCAGGGGCGCCGCAGGCACAGCTCAGAGACATTCTCCTCCACTACCACCGTGACCCCCGTTTCTCCTTCTTTTGCACACAAACCTAAGCGGCACAACTCCGCCTCTGTGGAAAATGTGTCCCTCAGGAAAAACGAAGGCCTCGTGGAAGAGCAAAATGGCAGCCCCATGTGCCGGGAGACGTCTGCTGGCTTTCAGCATGGCCTCAACCACATTGCTCTTGATGTGGAAGAAGGAGACCATCTGGCCAATGCTTATCAAGGGAAGCACAAAGGCAAGCATCCTCTCAATGGGAGTATTGATGGCACTTACACCACTATAGACTTCCGGAACCGCAATGAAGCTTCATCGGTAAAAGGTAAGTTTCCATATGCTAGCCTCCTTTTCTTTTCCCTCCCTCTAATAACCAACAGGTTTTTTCAGGAGGGGTCATGCTGTAACTTTTTGTATCATGTCAGAAGCAACTTGAGAAACTGCAAGTCGCTTCTGGTGTGAGAGAATTGGCCATCTGCAGGGATGTTGCCCGGGGGGCGCCCAGTTGTTTTACCACCCTGTGGGAGGCTTCCCTCATGTCCCATGTGGGAAGCTGGAGCTGACAGACAGGAGCTTACTCCATCTCGTCTCACAGATTCCAACCTCCGACCTTCAGGCCAACAGTTCAGCCAGCGCAAGGGTTTAACCCAGGGGTCCTCAAACTAAGGCCCAAGGGCCGGATACGGCCCTCCAAGGTAATTTACCCGGCCCTTGCACAGGATCAACCTAAGTCTGAAATGACTTGAAAGCACACAAAAACAACAAAAACAATCTTATCTCATCAGCCAAAAGCATGCCCACACTTCCCATTGAAATACTAATAAGTTTATATTTCTTAAAATAGTTCATTTTAATTATTGTCTTGTTTTTAAGTGTTTTTTGCACTACAAATAAGATATGTGCAGCGTGCATAGGAATTCATTCATGTTTTTTTCAAATTATAATGCGGCCCTCCAACAGTTTGAACAGAGGGCCAGGTCACAGTCCAACAGTTTGAGGGACTGTGACCTGGCCCTCTGTTCAAAAAGTTTGAGGACCCCTGGTTTAATCCATTGCGCCACCGACACCGTGGCTCATTCTGTAACTTAAAAAAAACAACACTTGAGGGCTTCTAATCATTAAGAAAGCTTTTATGGAACATGCTGAGAGATGCTAGTTTAACATTAACCCAAATAATTCCAAATGTAAATGCGAGAGAGCCTCAGGGTCTAAACAAGACCAGACACTAGTGCAGACTATCTCATTTCAGATAGATATTCAAGCCTCCAATGAAAGTCCTTCCAATTTCTTGGTCCTGTAACATGTTCAGGTTGCAGTCCTTATCACACTAGGAATAAACTCTACCGAACCCTAAGTAAGTTGTGGAGAGTAAACATTTAATGCGGTGTATTGTTACTGTGGTGTTGTCTTTTGCAATGAGAATCTCAGTCGCGTGTGTTCAGTTCATGTCTGTCTCTTTTTCTATGCATAGCTGCTTGTAAAGATGTATTTCTGTTATAAGACTCTGAAATTATTTTTATACAAAATATGCAGGGAAAAAATACAAAATATGCAGGATTTGACTTTTTGCCTAAGGTTTCCAATAAATGAGTTACAGAGTCACATAAATACAAGAAAAAGACTGCATGAAAAATGGTCAGCTGACAGTCTGAGCCCAGCAAAGCCAATCTTTGTAAGTCTGATGCATGGATAGACACTTGTTTGGTGGGAAATGGGTCAGTCTTCCTTCTATTATGTTGTAGATAGAAGGAGGGGTCTGCCTCAGGCAGCAGATTGGATGAGAGCAGGGTGCGTTCTGGGGTGCAGTTACGATTTCCCCAAAATCAGAGGATGCCATAGGGTCTCTCTCCCCTCTCTCAAATGTTCTTCTCATTGTGTAGCCTGTAAAACTTCTATTCCAATACCCAAGAAGAGCAAAAGGTATATAGACTGTAATATTTTATTGCAAGTTTCCCTAGTCGCTGTATAAATGGGAATCCTGCTTGTTTAGTTGGCAAAAGAAAGGGCCAGGGGAGTTTTAAACAAGAGGATCAGGTTATTGAGAATGATTGTAACATTCAACATAACAATACTACCCTGAGCCCGTTTGAGAGGCCATCTACTATGACTTTACAACCACCGATGAATACAAGGAAGTCAAACTTTGAACACTTTTTTCTATATTTTTTCTTTTTTATTCAATTTTTATATAATTTTTTCTCCTTTTCTTACATCTCCTCTCTAAAAGCCCCCTTTTTCAAACTTTCCTATCTAAAAATTTTTCTCACTCTTTCGATGTTATACTACAACTTTCATTTATTAAATAACTAAAAAAAATAATGATAGTAACATTTCGAACTCCCAGCTGGCATGAGGAAAATAGAGCTGGAAGAGAGTGTTCAGAACAGAGTTTACTCACAGTGGTCTACTTTTTCAATAATTTTAAATAGATGTTGACAATTTGTACCAATAAACCTTCATGAGCACAGACATCCTTCTCAATGCTCGCCCAACTGAAGTGTCATAAAAACATCCATATGTAAAACTTTGTAAAGTTCAAAACATTGTTTCCTACATCATTGCCAGCAAGGCAGGGTCCCCAAAAATATTGATATAGTTAATAAATGGAATCTAAAGCATACTAAAGTTATTTGTTATTTGTATCGTAATTCACTGTTAGTTAGCTCATCTGCAAAAGCCAAACTCTTCAACCAACCAGTTGTCTTTTAATAGTGTTTAATCCTTTCTAACCTAGCTCCTAAACAAAATAATTATGATTTAAAGCAAAATACTAGGACTGTCAAAATACTACGTAGATTGCCAGTCTGAACCCATACTCTTCCGGCATGAATGTTGTTGCAACCTTTTTCAGATACTATAACAAGTGTTTTGGTATTGGCAAGCCTGTTGTAAAGAAATGCTTCTGTAACTTTCCTTAAAGTGTTTATCTACCTATGAGGCATGTGATTTTGCTTACATTGAAGCTAGACAGTATAAATTAAGCCAATGAAAGGGAGATTTTTTTTTCCTTTCAAAGTTTTTGCTGATTAAATATGTTTGGTAAAATTGAAATGGCTTGTCTTTTAAGTGCTGGAATCCTTTAGTAAATTGCAATTCTGTAGCTATGGAGAGGACAAAATGAGTTCATTCTCTCCCTCAAAAGAATTCAGGGCCTCCAAATTAGATTTTCCTCCAGGTACCAAACTGAAGGAAAATCTGCAATAACTTAAAACTTAAGTCAAGCATTTGCAAATACAGTTTAGGTATCAAAAGAAAAAGGACTGGCAAAGTTATCAACAACAACAACACTTTATATATATCTTGCACCTATCTCCCCAAGGGGACCAAAGGAATACAAACACAGTAAATATAAGAGTGCTACATGTGGATGATTTTCAATATGATATAGATTGTTGGCACATTAGGGAAAATTTGCTGGACCCCTTCATGAGATAGCATCAGAAACTCTGCTTTAGATGAATGCAAAATCCAATTCTACTGAAAGCAAACACTGACAAAGAATCACAAATAATACTCCATAGCAATGAAAGTTAAGGACATTACGATGGCCAGTGTAAGGCAAATAGATGTTGTCCTCCTTGTTGGGAACAACAAGTAAAGGACTCAGCTTGTTTTCTTCCAGAATACACATTATATTTAGACTCAAGAACATAATGTTTTGGTCTCCTTATTCTTGTTACTGGAGATAATGTTCTTGGAAACTAAATTGTATTTTTATTGGGAAGAACAGATTATGATGTGACAAAGCAGGTGGTGAAACTAGCCTTAGAGAAAAGGAAAGGTTAAAGTCCTTCTGGTGATAGTTTATGCTTCTAGAGCCACATTAATTATTGACCACTTAATTAAACAATTAACTGTAGTATTTTACTGTGTTTTGTATGTTTTATAACATTTTTTGTACTGTTTGCTTTTTATCTGCTTCCTTGTTTATCTTTTTTGATGAGGGAAAGCTTTGCTGACCATCATACAATGAAAGAACCAACATAAATCTAAGTCTTCTAGTTTAACTACTTTGCAGGTCTTTGTCTGTTTTTGTATAAATGAAGTGGGAGATAAACAACCAAGTTTTTGTTCACCAAAGCAAGGGATTCTGAGGCATGAGACTCCAATAATTTACCAGTAAGGCTGGAAAATATTTCAAATTCCTTCAGTGTATTGCATGGAGCTGACCGGTTATGTCAAATTCCTAAGCACCGACATTACATTTGTAGTTTCTTCAGAGACTAACTGCCTGGGATTTTCCATTCATACAACCAAGGTTAATTTAACATATAGAGTGATACTCTACTAATTTTCTCTTTTATACATTTATTGTATATCTTTATTATTAAAACGTAAAATCTGTAATAAATTTACTTTAGATGGTCAAATAGAAATGTAGACTAAGCAGATCATTAGATTTTTTCCCTTAGTTTTATACTCCTCTTTTCTTCCAAAAATAAGATTGAAGGCACCTATTTTATTAGATGAAAGAAAGCACTTTAATTTGTAGAATATTCGGATACAGTTTAACAGATTGTTTTGGCAATACAGCAAGCTTGATCATGTTTAATTTTGGCCATCTGCAAGTTGTTATAATTTGAAATATAGATCCCATATGATACTAAACTGATACTTAACATTTTGTTCCTCATTTGTGTTGATTAGAAAGTTAATTATAAAGGTTCTTTTTTAAAAATGTAAGTGGCTTTGGATGTTATTTCTTGTACACAGTGTTCTTTCCATGGTTAATTTAAAATTACTTGATATGCACAGTGTTGAATGAGGACATATTATGGCTCAACTGCTTGTGTTGAGATGCAAAGACAGGCATAGGGTGACAACAGCTTCTGTATTCCACATCAAAGGCTGGTGGATCCAGCATTAGTTGGTTGGTAAATCAACTCTTAGTTTTTGTCTCAACTTTAAAAGAGATATCTGAATGCTGCATTTGCTTTTGGTAGCAGGTTCAACCATCTTGGAATAGTTCTTTTAAAGTTTGGACTAAACCAGGAACTAAATTCATTGCCTCATTGGCTCATTATTTGTATTGAGACTGTGTAAAGAAGGCAAAACAATATGGTTGTATTCTAGGAATTCTTTTTAGAGAAGAAATATCTGAGTTGTATGCGGGGGCAGCATAATTTCTTATTTAAGGAACAACCAACCAACACTAGCCATGTTGGATCAATTGATCCCCATGACAACGACAACGGGTGCAGAGTGGTGAGTACCAACCCCGTGTCCTTAGATGGGCTGAGCCCAGGGAATACACGATGACCGTGTAAATAGTTGGGCCAAGTTCACTTGAAACTGGCCCAACTACTTAACATAACCCCAAAGTGTCTGTTTGCTCTACATTTTCATAGAGAATTTGGAGCACCCCACAACTTTGGTTCACACAAGTTTAAGACCATGTTTATGTGACCTTGGCCTACTTTAACCCAAATCAGCTTTAGCCGCCATGGAGCTGATTCACCCACTCTTCAGGGTAAATAATCAGTGTGGATGTACCCATTCTTCAATTTCTCCTGGTTTCTTTGCTGCTTAAACACCCTCTGCCTGCCCCCAAACTACTAAATGGGAGTGCATGGTGGCACTGCAAAATTGTCTTGCAAGGGGGAGTTATGAAAGGAGGTACTCCCTGCTCAGTGAATTTAAAAGGACATATTCTAACAGCTACATGATAAATGTTCGTGTAACCTTGGTTACATGGCCCTGTTTCAACAACAGGATTCCAGCCAAAGTTATCATTTGGGTCTGCAATGAGGTTTTGGTAAGATTTATCTTTTGTGTTCTCTGTTGCGATTGCTAAAACATGTTTATGTTGGTCCAGGCCACCTTCTTTATCTGAGAGGGGGAAGCTCTTCAAAACTAACCATTGGCCAGAATGGGAGTCAATCTGGATTTTATCCTGTAGCTCTTCTGGATACAATAGCTACTATGCTCTTAATGGAGATGGGGTGAGGAGGGGTGTGTGCTCATTCTTCCACATTTCAGAGAGTGTTCAGTATTCTTCATCTTTTGGGCCTGGGCCTGGAAGAGCAACCAGGAACCCCAAATTGTGCCAAAAGGCTTAAACACAACCCTGGAAAACTTTGGGGAGTGCTGTTTGTCTGAAAAATTATGAGCAAAACAAGTTAAATCCCCAGATTTCAGGTAGGTGCATCTAACTTAGAGGTAAAAATGTTCTTGGAGGACATTAGGCAGCTTTTGGCTCATAATTTGTCCACCTCTGCAGTAGGCAGGGCACTTTTTAAGAGGGCAAGTATTATAAATCAGGAGTGACTCCTAAAATGAGTCTCAATGTCTCAAAAATGGTGGTGAAATGCAACACCAGTATATTTCCCCCTTGCCCTGCTCAACATAATAAATAGGACCCCAAAGCTTACCCTTTTTTTCCTTTCTTTTCCCAGTTTGTTAAGAGTTGTTGCCGTATTGATTCCAGAGAACAAGAGACAAAGTTGGTAAGGTACTGATTTTTATAAAAGGTTAGATTTGTATTTATAAAAGGTTAGATTTTATGGAAACATACTGTGTACTTAAAAGTGAATTTCTGTTCTTCTCAAACAAAGGAGGAGGACTGTTATGGGGCAAACAGACACAGTCCTATGTTCTAGAGGGGGTGAGGCTCTTTCTCATATAGAGAAACTTCAGCCCAGTAATTCATATCTAAAAGCACATTGTCACTAGTGGCAAATGTGAGACTGAACAAGAGACTTATTAAAATAGAATTGAGTTATAAAATGGTGGGAAATTTCTGTAGCTTGGAGGAACCAGCTGTCCTCCTTGGAACCCTCCAAGATGGGCTGTCAAAAAATGAAAAGTTGAGGTGTTTGGTGATTTTTCAATTCTACACAGTGCAAGCAAGCCCTACAGACTATTTAAAAGCTGCATTTTGCTTTCCAGGGGATCCCAGGAGAAACAATTGAAAACTGAGTAGCCTTTGAGGGTCTCACACATTCTTTATGCCATTGAGAACTGGGGAAATGAGATCTGTGGGGTCTTCTGTGGAACTGCACTTCATTGGAGCAGCTCCGGAGGGAGTCTTATCAATCCATAACCCTGGGGGGGAGGAGCAGGGTGGGGAGGAATTGCTCTTGAAAACCTTACTTGAGGTTGTAGGAAGAACAGGACATGCTTCTTCCAGGTGGGTAATAAAAGTGGCCCGTAAGTCACTTTGTAGCATCTATGTAGATAAGCTACTCCTCTGCTCCTCAAGGATGTTTGAGAAAAAGCAGTTCATGCCCACAGACTAGCAGGTCTCTTTCCCTGCCCCACAGGAATAATAGTTGGCAGTGTCCCACTGCTGTGGGTTTTTCTCTCTACATTGTTTCATTTCTTTCTTTGCCTCATTTATATCCTGTGTTCCCTCTTCCAGTGTGCTCAGATACATGGCTTCCTTCTTTCTTTATCCCCATAATAACCCTGTAAGGCCGATTCATGCTGAGAAGTTTAAAATCTGCATCTCCCCAATTACAGCCCATCACTGCTATCACACCCACTCTGCTCTTCAGTGTCACAAAGCTATGCAATATACTATTGAGAGAGACTTTTAAGGAGAATAGTAATTGTGTTGGATTTTCTCTCTCACACACACATCTACACATCTAAAAAGTAACTTGTCAGAAATAATGAATTGTGTCTCATTATTTTTTGCAATAAGGCAGCACTATCACATTATGATTGCGGTATAACATGGAATAATGTTACTCCTTCTGTAAAGTGACTGAAGAGATGGCCTTCAGGAGTGTTTTTTAACACACCAGCTGCTTGTGGCATCTTTTTTTTTTAAATAACTAATAGTAAATATTTAAGCAACTGTTGAATAACAAGTAAAAGCCTGCTTCTGAAAAAAAATAGGAACTGCAATGGTAACTATTTTTGCAGTGAGCAGACTTGGAACTGTCCCCGTAATGTTCTGAGCACCTGTCTGGTGTTGCTAGGAATTTAGGAACCTACTTGGAAATTAGAAATTAGAACTGGCTGAAATTAGAACTGACTGTTGCCTCCCTAGCGCCAGAAAAACATACTTTTTCACACATAATCTGTCACCTTCTGTTGGAAAATGGTAATTTTTTCATTAAGTACAGAAACTGTTTTCAAGATCCTATATATATATACACACACACACACACACACACACACACACATACACATAAGAACTGCTATTATGATTCTATGCAGTGGATTCCTGCCTGACCCCTCTGCCCCCCAAACAATTCTCACTTACTGGATTAGCAGTTCCTGTTGATTGGAAAGCAGCAGTAGGATTTCCCAATTCCCCCATGGGTGTTCTCTTGTGCAGTGGACAGATTTAGGGTCTTTGCTGCAATTCCCCCTCATACCAGAGATCATTCATGCAAGGACAACTGGGAATGTTGGTCAGCTCCTTCCCAAGTGACAGAGGAATAAGATCGCAGCAGCAGCTGTTGCCCAGTACATGGAAATTGAGGGAGTTTCAGGATCTCTGTATAGTCACTAAACTAAACTGGGGACTATGTGGTGACTCTGACTATGTAACAGTCATATGTGCATAACCTTAGATTATGCATTCATAACTACCATAGAGATTTATGGCTGATATCAACAAAGGTTGTGCAGAAGTCCCTTGATGTGCTTCCGAGATTATGCTCTGATCCACTCTGGAGTCATCCGAACGTGATCTGAAATCTGACTCACCACACAGTTCAGAATTCAGGAGTATTAATCATCATAATTCCCTTCTGAAAGACACAATTGAACAAATGTGTAATCATGCTAATGTCTTCCTTTGCCATACAAACAGTGCTGTGTCTGTGTCCTTATTGACAGCTGTATTTTAAAGCAATTTGCCTGCTTCTTCACAGGGGGTTGGACTAGATGGCTCGCGGGGTCTCTTCCAAGTATGATTCTGTGATTAATCTAGAAAGATTACCAAAATATTTATCATCACATAGTGAATTTACAGACCTCAAGAGTATTGGGGTCGGGCAGGGAAATGAATGATCACAAACACTAGAAAGCTGAGGAAAACAGGAAAATATATACACAAACCCTCCTATTCATGCTATGATTGGAAGGTTTAGGAACTGAAAAATGGAAATTGAAATATAGCGCTGTTACTTCACCTTCTCCTTCCATTATCATAAGCATGCAGCCATGGTGTTCTGTATTAGAGGAGAAATGCATTTTCCAGATATTTTCCCAGCCCCCCCCCCCCCCATGCATTAGTTTGAAGCATTATGGAAAACACTAGAACTCTTTCCAGAAACTTTTCCCACTGAACAATCCAGGTTGGATCCATTCTGGATTGGGCCACATCAGGCTGATCTGCTTCAGGATTCAAACTTTGAGTTATATACACAACTCTGCCATTAACATTATTATTTATTATTTATTTATTTGACTTGTATACTGCTACTCCTGATTTGGCTCGCAGGGGTTTACAGCAGTAAATTAAAACAATACAATTTACTTTAAAATACAATAAAACAAGAACAGACATAGTCCCGAGTTATTCACCCATCGAAAGCTGGTCTATGTAGCTACATAAAGTGATACGTGTGGTTTTTAATAACTCAAATGAACTTTTTTTTTAAAAAAAGTTATGCATTGGTATGAGATGTGATCCTTATTTTCCATGAGTGAGTTTAGTGCTAGTGAGATTTCCTATTTTTTCTTCTGGGTTTATTATTGCAACTGAAGTGATTAAATCAAAGCTTCATTAGACTGATGACTTCTTAAACTAAGACCTTCAGCTGAGAGTATGCTATTTGTGGTGGCTACTCCATGCATGATAATAATAGGTTATTTTTACCCTATTGAGCTTTCTGTCTAGACAGATAAAAGTTAAGAGGCACAAACAAGGGACTTAATTACATGTCATGCTTAATTCCCTTAATGCAAGTCACCACTTTTTCATTTCTTCAACCATAATTAGTTGCTAACTTCGCCATATGACACTAAATAGTCCCTGAATGCATTGTTGAGAGATGCCATATTTATGTTTGTATATATTGTTTGTGTATTGTCTGTGTTTATATGTTTGCATGGGTGCACAGAAAGAACAAAAGCATAGCCGCTGGCTAGAAATATATGTGTTAATATAATTAACCTACCTGTCCCTCACTTCTTTGGCATACCATATTCAGTAGAGGACATATGGGAAAGAATCCAAAATTGTGTATCCACTTAGTGAAATATTAAATTTCAGGTAGTGATGACCACACATACACCTGTCCTATTTAGATGTCTTTTTGGGCCGTTGCAGAGTTGGTATTCCTGTCCTTTCCACAGGCTGCTCTTTCCAATATTCTTTAAAGTCCCAAAGCTGCCTCACAGGCTTTCCATGTCGCAGTGTGAACAGACAGGATTGAAGAAGCATCTGGTAATCTATCCCTCCCCCATTGATGATCACAGAAAGTCTGAGACCTTCAAGGGACACCACCCCGCCAAGACCTCAGCACTGATATTATAATTGTGCGTTTGCGTATGCGATGGGGTTGCAAGGCCTTTTCTCATCCTGGCTGCTCGTGTTGCAACATGGAATGCCTGTATGAAGCAGCTTTAAAGTAGGCGAGGAGGGTAGTGTGCGGATCAACATAATGTACAGTCCACGTGTAGAACATTAGGCTATGCTGATAGGATGTGAAATTAAGGCCTATCTCAGTTTCAAACCAAAATATTAATTCTCATTTGAGTTTTCAGTCTTTTTGCTGTGATTTTTTAAAAAAACACTTTGACATTGAATTTTTAAAAAAAGATGTGTACAGTATGAGCACATACTGTACACACCTGAGCAACTCATGTATAAGTCAAGGGCAGATTTTGGGACCAAAATTACAGATTTTGAAATTATCCATAGATACATTGAGGACCATTCTGCAGAGAAGAAAAAATACCAATGTATTCTCGGGTCAGTTGCCTCTCCCCTTGGGCATTCAAAAAGCCAGAGGCATCACCACTGCAGAAGGTATAAAGGGGGACAATGCTTCTTTCAGGTTCTACCAGAAAGAATTAAGCTCTTGCCTTACAGAAGGGGAGGGTTCCTTTTTGAATTAGAGTTAAGGTACAGTACTCACATTGACCCTCCAATAAGTTGACCCAGTTTGGAGGGAGAGGGGTGTGTGATTATTTTCACTAAAAAGTTTATACTTGTACATGAGTATATAGGGTCACAAGGAATCTTGGGGAGCTGCCCCACCCCACCGCCCTGGGGGAGGGGGGTCAGATTTTTGCACAGAAATGTTTCCAACACCATTCAAGAGGAGTGGTTGGGGCAATATCACAATATGAGATGGGGGAGGCTAAGTTGGTTTTCACCCAGAAAAAAAGTTATTTTTCACAGGGCATAACTAGGGCATTGGGGTGAAAATTATTCAGAAGAATGCTGTGGGAACACATTATATACTGTGTGTGTGTATATATATATAGTATATATTCCCAAAGGACTGGATCGATGACAAATCGGATAGGATAGGCTATGTCTCACTAAGTAGCCAGTGTAGCATACTGGTGCTTTATTATTTTCTTTGGTAGTAAGATCTGATTTTACATATTTACATACACATTGAAGTATATATATACATATATACATTGAAGTATTGGATCAGTACATTTTTTGAGCTAATTAGGTTGTATAAGAAATGTATCATAAGGTTAAACCTTAGCCTGAATACTTTAAAGGCGTCTAACATTATTTGCATATGTTGATAGATGGAAAATGAATGTCTGTGTTGTCCTTATTCAGTGATGAATTTACTAGTGTATATCCTGACTGAGATTTGAATATTGTAGGAGTAGCCATGCTGTCTGTTGAACAAAATACGAAATATACATTGGTTATACTTTTATTGGGACATAACTGAACATGACGACATAGTTTTAAATTTTTTATTGTTTAATGATTTGATGTTTTTAGATACATTGTAATGTGTTGGTTTTATTTTTATTGATGTATGTACTTTATATATGGCATCAAATTGTGCCGACTGTTCGCCACCCTGAGTCGCCTTTGGGCTGATATGGGCGGGGTAGAAATAATGTAAATAAATAAATAAAGCCAACAGGGGGAAAAAACCCATTGCACTCACTTTCACAGCTCACTTTCCTCTTCATCAGACAAAGCTGTTGAGTAAATCATACAGGGAAAATAAACATGATGCTCTTGGATTCACATATATGTACAGGTCTGAATCTATGGTTTTGGATTTTGTAGTGAGAGTGTTGCCATGGAGGCAAAAAGCCGAATAGCCACCTTTTCTCACAAAAAAGAAGTCAAAGGACACAAGCCTGTAAAGGAAGACCATAGAATTTAAGTTCTCCATTATAGCCGTCAAGTTACTTCCTTTGTAATCTGTTGAGACCCTGCTCAATAAAGCCAATATTCAGTTAAAGTTTATACTTAACTAGAACTTGAAAAAGTCACTGTTTGTCTTGAATAGTTCACAGTGAGCCTAACTTCACATAAAGAGTATCAATATCTCCATTAGCATTCTCAGAAATTGCATACCATCTCAAGTTGAAAATCTCTTTCAGAGCAGAGTACTTTTCAGCACAGGTACAACATTGAGGGATACCTGTATTCATGTTGCTGCAAATCATTTCCCTGTGTGTGTATGCGCCTTCACGTCACTTGGCGATTTATGAAAAGTCTGTGAATTTGACAGTTTCCTCTGTAAGGAATACTCAGAGGTGATTTACCTACATACCATAATCCTGTCTAATCTTGGAAGCTATACAGGGTTAGCCCTATTAGTACTTGGATGGGAGACTACCAACAAATCAGGTCCTGTATGCTCTATTTCAGAGGAAGGAACTGGCAAAGCCACTTCTGAGTATTCATTGCCTGAGAAAACACTATAAAATCAGTAAGTCAACAGAAGATTTGAAGGCACATGGCCACACACATTCATCTGTGTTTCCTACACTGAAGCATGCATGTGATTGTGTTAGAGAGCTAGATTGCATTTCTGGTATCAAGTTGAACTCTTTTAAGCCAAGATCTTCTTTGACAGCTTATGAAAAATTAAGCTGTATCTAGCCCCACATGCGCCAGGTATTGCAAATGTTTTACTAATTATCATGACTTTCTTCAGATAACCATCTTACCCAGTGACCTGTCAAAGGTTGCCTGTATTAATGAAAGCACAACATAATTTTCTACTATCACACATTGCAATCTCTCATGAAGACTGGAGCTCTCATTATATAGTAAAGCACTCCTACACTACATAAATTGGTTATTTTGGAAATGTGTCTCCTAATTATTTTATGAAGCCACGAGAGACCTAATTACAATCAGAACTGTAGTAGGCAAGGAGGGGAGCTGATAATCTTTTCCTGCTCTCTTGCCTCCAGAGATTCCCACAGAACTACTTACGCCATGCCAAAATTACCATGACTCTCCTTTCAATGACAAACAGTAGTTTAGATCAAGGGGATTTCCAGGCATATACAGAGAACTGTTGTATTTCTTTGATTCCTTTCCTAGATAGCCATGCTCTTAGTCCAGATTAGGAATTCCTTCAATTTAATATCAGTAACCAGAATCCTGTTGGAGTTTGCATATGTGTAAGCATCACGGTTATGGTGTAGTACAGTGGTTCTCAACCTGTGGGTCCCCAAATGTTTTGGCCTTCAACTCCCAGAAATCCTAACAGCTGGTAAACTGGCTGGGTTTTCTGGGAGTTGTAGGCTAAAATACCTGGGGAGCCACAGGTTGAAAACCACTGGGCCTGTAGTATATGCCATCTTAATCCCCACTTACTGGGAAGTATCTACTATGATCAACAGGGGTCTGTTCCCCTATCAATCAGAAAGCAGTTGACCAATGATGCTACCTATCCCGTGAGAGATACCCAGCACATGACGTCCTCACAATGCTCCATTCTTGGAGATTGCTGATTCAAGAGGGTGAGAGGGACTCCCACTCAGCTGTTTTCCCATTGATAGAGGAACAACCACCATTGATTGCAGCAGCTTCTTCCCCATAAATAGGGATTAAGGAATGGTCACACACCCTATGTAGCCCCTAAACTAAAGATTATGTAGGGGTTGTTACACATTCATATCTGCCCAACAGAATTCTGATCAGCATAACAATAATCACAAGTATGGAAGAGTTTGATATACAGTCATGGAATATGTAGATAACATCATACACTATTGTAATTGGAATCACATGAGTCCAAACTCCTGCTCAGTACAGGATCTACAGTGCATGATACTATAACATTATCCCTGAAAGAAAACTATCTGGGTTTTGCTTAAATCCTTTAGAAAACAATAAGCAACATAAGCTTTGTCTTAGCCATTTGCTGCCTGTGTGATTCAACAGGAAAAGTCAAAAGTTGTTTTTAAAATAAATCACAATCTTTAATAGACCCCAAAAAGTTCATCCTCATCTTACAAGGGTCCAACGTAAGAGAAAAAGAGGGAAACTGCCCTGTTAAATCACTACTTGTTTGTTTCCAGGAAAGAGAGACTGTTTACATACCAGGGCTGCTAAGCATACCCTGCTGGGCTATGATAGCATACCCAAGCCTTAGGCTCATGCTTTTCATAACAGAGAGAATGAAGAATAAATGATAAATGTATTCTTTGATCTGGTCTGGTCTCCATAATCTATATTAAAGAGACTTTGAATGGAAAAGGAACTGTCCTGGGATGTGAGGGGTTTTCACACAATATGCTGAACATGGATTCACAAAATATGTACCCTCATTCAGATATCTAAGTGAACCTCTTGACTTGTATTCATTCCTGAACATGGCAATTCTGTTTCGAGGGACAGTAGAAGACTTGAGATCCTAAGTGGATATCTGGCTCCAAGTGCACGCTGTCTTCTCCTTTGTTTGTTTTGTTTTGAGATTTGAATTGTAAAGTTATCTACCAGTAATTGGTTTCAATTGTGCCTCCCCTCCCCTCCTTTTTACCCTCCTTATTAAACAAGTTCTTTTCAGTAAAAAATATTGGTTTTGATTAAGACATTTATCCCATTGTCAGTTTCATAACTGGTTTTTTTGTAAAGAGGGGAGTTTTTAAATTGGGTTGTTGTAGGTTTTTCCGAGCTATATGGCCATGTTCTGGAGGCAATTTTTCTCCTGACGTTTTGCCTGCATCTATGGCAAGCATCCTCAGAGGTACTGAGGTCTGTTGGAATAGGAAAAATGGGTTTATATATCTGTGGAATGACCAGGGTGAGACAAAGGACTTTTGTCTGCTGGGGCTAGGTGTGAAAGTTTCAGCTGATCACCTTGATTAGCATTCAATGGCTTGGAAGTGCCTGGGGGGAATCTTTTGTTGAGAGTGATTTTATGTGCCTATTTGTTTCCCCTCTGTTGTTTTGCTGTTGTAATTTTTGAGTTTTTAAATACTGGTAGCCAGATTTTGTTCATTTTCATGGTTTCTTCCTTTCTGTTGAAATTGTCCACATGCTTGTGGATTTCAAATTGCTTTAAACAGATTGCAAATATTTAAAATCATTTAAGCAGAATTCATAATGTGTGGCATTCTCTTGTCTTTTCATATCTTTAGCTACACAGCAGAGGTACTATGAAATGTTCTTAGTGAATGTTTAAAATATGTAGGGGCACTGCCAAGAGTGTCCCAATGCACATTGGACTCTCTCAATACACATGGGCACTCCTTAGCTAGTGTCCAGGTGCACAGTGGGACATATGCACATTGGTCCTGATGCACATTGGACTTGGTGTGTTGGTTCCATTATTCATTGGTCTCAATGCACATTGGTCACTTAGCTAGCTTCCCTATATACGTAATAATGTATATCTTTACTAGATATGGATGTTACAGATGTACTGAATTCTAAGTTCCTCAGATGTAAGTATACTTAATGAGACATAAGGTCCTAACATCTTACTAGAAAGCCAACTTTACTAGAACACACAGTCTTATGGAAGCATCACTGATTTATTGTTGAAGGCTTTCATGGCTGGAATCACTGGGTTGTTGTAGGTTTTTTCGGGCTATATGGCCATGTTCTAGAGGCATTCTCTCCTGACGTTTCGCCTGCATCTATGGCAAGCATCCTCAGAGGTAGTGAGGTCTAATTTGTTTCTCTAGAATGACAGGAGTTGAACCCTTTTCAACTTGAATGTTGGAACACTTGAGTATAACACAGTGGTAAACTATACAAGAGTACAGACCAGCAGTTTAGAGTTAATTGTTAACGTGTAAGTAACTATAATATGTGAAAAAAGACAACTCTGTGGTCTTTGTTCACATGTAAACAGACTACCATGTGAACCCCACTTAGATATACATCCAAAGTGAGGGAGGAGGAAAGGTGGTACACTGATTGATCGTTCTTCTCTCTGTAGGTACCTGCAGAAAAAGCAAATGAGTCATTATGGAGATTAGACTGTACTTTTCTTATCCTTTGGTCAGAGCTTACTGATGCAACTTATTTCTGTTTCTTGCTTTTCAGAATGAAGAAACAAGATTCACCATCATGACCTCTGAATCCATTTTAAAAGCTGCTTGTAGATTTTTTTCAAGAGATTACATCTTAAACAGCTTTAAGACCTGCTTGATTTTTTTCCGTCTTATGTAGCTTTCAGAACAGTTCTTTATTGTATTGAAGAGGAACCAAACCATCTAGGATGTTTTGCAAGATTAATCTTGCAGAGACTGTGGATCTCTTCATTTGGCTTATTGATCATAACCATTACCTTTTCGGTACAAATAAACTGTGTGTGTTCTTCAGCATGTTGGGATGTTCTGCTTGCACCTGCTATAGCAGTGAAGAGTGGTGTTTACTGGTGTCCTTTCAAACCTCTGCAGCACTACCTCAGTTAAGAGTAGAACTGAATTTGCATTGCATTGGCTGGCCTTACTGCTGAATGTTGAACAGTCACCAACCTTTGGGACCTTATCAAGAATAACAGGATGCTGCTGGTCAGTTGCTTCCCAGTTACTAGCTGCTCTGTTGATTTATCAAGAGAAGATCAGGATGAGAAACGAAAGATTTAAACCAAAAAGAAACTTGAACGTTTGGATTTTATGAAAATATTTATGATCATTATACAATATGTAATAGAAGCAACAGAAACTTAGTATCATTAAACTCTATTGGGAAGTCATTCTTTACCTCTGACACATTTGTATAATTGTCTTGATAGGTTGTTTTTTTTTAATGCTTCAGATTGCAAAAACGTTTCCTGCTATGTATTAGCAAATCCTATTAGTTGCATTTCTTGTTACCAAAAGCCACAACAGGGAATGGATGGATCAAAACATGTGTCCAAACCAAAAACTTCATTTTGGGCAGGATACTGTATCAATTCTTTTTCCTTCTAGGCAGAATGAAATTTCCCATAAAAGGAACAGCATAAAATTTGGGCATATTTGGGTTAAAAATACCAGTATTCTAGTAAAACATATTGAGAAGTATGTACCTACTCTGTATTTTGAAGATAAATGTCCTGATTGCTCTTTTTACATTCACATTACAGGTTACATTACATTCATCCTCTTCTTGCTTCTATACCTCTCCTGAGTCTCATGTGACAGCAAAAACAAAAAGGGACTTGGGAAAAGCAGGTTCAGTTTCCAGATGAGCCACCAAGCTCACTTGTTGGTATTGGATCAGACTCACTCTACCAGCTTGGCCTGCCTCGGAGTGAACTTTATATACTCATGTATAAGTCTGCGATTTTTAGTCAAAGATCAATGCAGCTTATTCACATGTACTGTACTTTAACTCCCTTTTTTTTATAAGGAACCATCCTCCTCTCTGAGAAGGGTAGCAAAAGGCATGGGAGAGAAACTCAAGAAAGCATCAATCCTATCTACATTCTCCACCGCAGCATTACTTTGAATAATTTATAATGCCAGGATGGAAAAATTGTGATGATCGCTTACACATGAGTATATATGGTAGTTATGAGGATGGAATGGGACAGTTATTCCAACCTGAACTCTCTGGAGGTAAGGCAGGAGGTAAATCTAATGAATTAACAGTCAGCTCGGTGTCATCAGAAATGCTTTACATTGCTAACTAAGGGAGGAAAAGGAACCAGTGCCCTAGTGTTCTGACGAAATGCCATGCAAACTCATTTCACTTCCATGCTAAGTGTTTGGATTGAAGATTGTATAACAAGACATATCTGAATGTAATCTCCACCTATTAAATATTGCTTTGAGAACTTAGGAGGAGAATATTATATTGAATATCTTGGTAAAAATCACAAAGATAACAAAAAATTAAGTGACAGTCCTATTACGTTATTTAAAACAACCTTCACTTCTCTGCCTCAGTTAATTTATTGATGATGATGTTCCCGGCCAATGAGAGATTTTGATATGGCAGTTGTTGAAATCAGAAAATGATCACTGTAAGATATGAGGAAATCTGTTAGTTCCTGATGCCACAATAGTTAATTAGGTAGATAGCATATAAAATAAAGGAGATGAAATATTGGGGGTGGGGGGGGGAAAGTAAATTCTTTTCAGTGCTATACATTTCATAAAAGGCTTATGCAAATACGTACATTCTTAGTTATCATATTGAACCCAAATGTATAATTGATAAGTTTGCTAAAAAAAATTGCCTAATTTTACCTTAAATTTTGAATATTTTTTGCTATTTAAAATTAATGGTTATAAATAGAGTTTTTCTTTTAGAGATATATAATTGTTCCTAGATATCAAGATACTAAATATATTTCTTGCCATTGTGATATGGCAAAACACTTAACTTATCTTGCTCTGTCTTCCAATGTATACTATGTATATAGGTGTAATCAGTGATGCTGCTAGGAAAGAGAAAAATGAAACTAGACTAGCATATGTATTTAGTCTCTATTGATCCTGACTGCTCTCTTTAATAGCCATATGCAATAAAATGTTATTTATTAAAGGAACAATGTCTTTGAGGGCCTGTGTATTAACATTGGGGTGGGGGAGCTGGTCAGAGCTGCAACATCAAAACAGGAACATGCAAGGATTATGGGTGCAGCCTTATGGATTGATGGATGCAGCAAATGAAGGCTACTGTGAAATTATCCACTGTGGGGGGCTTGGAGACCATTCTGTCCCCAAGTATGTGTGCCCATTTTCTTGTTCCAGGGTGACGCCAACACTAAAAATAGGGACTTGCATAGGATATTTTAAAAGGTAAACCAGTGGTTCCCAACCTTTGATCCTCCAAGTGTTTTGGACTTCAACTCCCAGAAATCCCAGTCATCTTACCAGCTGTTAGGAATTGTTCAGGAATTGTGGGAACTGAAGTCCAAAACACCTGGAGGACCGAAGGTTGGGAACCACTGTGGTAGATGAAGGAAGCACTTGTATAGAACCAGTTACGGCAAGATCATCCTCGCCTTGCAGCTGTCCCAGCTAGAGAGAAAGGGAGATGAAAACCCCACTAGTTACCAAAGGAAAGCATGTGGTCTCACCCCTTTTGACAGTGGTTCTCAACCTGGGATCCCCAGATGTTTTTGGCCTTCAACTCCCAGAAATCCTAACAGCTGGTAAATTGGCTGGGATTTCTGAGAGTTGTAGGCCAAAAACATCTGGGAACCCCATGTTGAGAACCACTGCCTTATGACCTGGAATATTTATACATTAAGTTTAGGAGATCGTTGCTTCCTTTCTTCCTTGTTCAAAGACAAACTGTTTTAAACCCATTCCAGGCTAGGCCAGGAAAGTTCTGTGACTTGTGCAGGTACGATGACAATCACCTTTGGTGACAAGTGGCATATCTACTACAGCCTGTTCTTTGTAGAGGCTTTTTTGTTTATCAAAATATTCTTTATAATACAGCTATCAATAAATTTTACTAGTGGAAAAACATTGCAATGTGTTCTTTCTTAGAATGCATGTATGTGTGTGCATGTATTTGTAGGGTGTGGTCAACCTAGTTTGTTTTTATTGGCGCAAGCTTCTGGAAGCAGAAGAGCAAAGGGTATTCATCTACCTCATGACGCTTCCTTCTCCAAAAGAAAACTTCAACTAGAAGAGAATCTGTCAGAAGACGAACACTAATTGGATTTTAACATTCAGGTTAAATTATTGTAGTGTGCGGATTATTTTATTATTATTTGAAACACAACAAGATGAGTCCACAGCAGACAAGATCACTCTGCTGGCTGTTGTATTAGATCACACGTCGGACACTTCCCAAGTGTCTAGGACTGTGTGATGTATCGGCGAATGATGTGTGCAGATCCCAGTAAGGTGACCTTTTGCAGCTGGCAGATGGTAATCTTGTCAGTGCTGATTGTGTTTAAGTGCAGGCCAAAGTCTCTAGGCACTGCATCCAGTGTGCCGATCACCACTGGGACCACCTTTACTGGCTTGTGCCAATCTGCAGTTCAATCTTTAAATCCTCATATCGTGTCATCTTTTCCAGTTGTTTCTCTTCAATCCTGCTGTCACCTGGGATTGCAACATCAACAATCCACACTTTGTTTTTTAACACGTTGTTGTTGTTGTTGTTGTTGTTATTATTATTATTATGGGACGGCCTTTGAAAAAGATTTTGGAAATGCCTCTTTGTACTAATGATAATGATGTTATTTCAGTGAAATCATTGTTGACTTTCAACATTTTGGCAACGACTACCACCTAATGCTACTAGAGACGGATTTAATAGTCTTTAATTTTCTTGTCTTTTAAAAATTAAAACATTTTCTACTTTGGGAGCCAGGTATATATTGGCTACTAACTTACTTATAGTCTATTTCCATCCAAAGAAACTTTGGCCACTATCGGAATATGAGTCAGTCATGTGGAAAGTGTATCAGTAAACAATGGCTAACTTCCTGTTCAGTATTTATGAGATTGTAAGATGGACCTGTGAAGTTGTTACATCTAGGATTCACAGTTATGGTTGTTACTGAGTCCTTGCTCAAGCTTTCCTTAGGAAAACTTAATATCTGTTTTCTAGGATGCCTCTTTTTTCTAAATTTTTAAAATATTCTTCCTCTAAGTAAAGTTTATTGTATTTTATCACATAATAGTTGCACTTTCCCTCCATTTTGTATGGGAAAAGGGGGTGCGACTATTATGTGAGGAAATTATTATTATTATTATTATTATTATTATTATTATTATTATTTAGCTAGGGGGCTTCTCTTGTTACCAGCCTATGGAAACCCTATAACTGCAAGGCCACCCATACACCTGTCAGCAAGAGCTATGAGGCTTCCTTTGTCTCACCTGCCTGGATACCTCTCCATTCAGAGCTATGGAGGGTGATCTTGCCAAAGCAACCCCCATGAACTGAGTGTATGCCTATTATGCAAGGACTGGTAAAATAACAGGACCCAAAAGGGGGGATGCAATAAAATGTGGTAGTTTTAGTTCATCACCGTTCTTATATGTAGTTTGATTTTAACAGTTATCTGTAATAGTGCTTTCATTTTCCCAGTTCTGTAGGCTACAAAGTGACTCTGGCAAAAGAGCAGACTTGTATGTTGTAGTGGACACACGTTAGACCCACTATGCAGTTAAAATGTTTTGTTTTTCTTATGCATTGCTTGGCACAAAGGGAATGAGGTGCAAACTGGCTTTCACATGGAAGGAACACCAGGCTCTTCACTGATTCCACCCACATAGAGTGCATTACAATAATCCAATCTGGAGGTGACTAAGGCGTGGACTACCATGGCCAGATCCAACTTCACGAGGTATGGTCGCAGCTGGCACACGAGTTTTGTGCGAAGGCCCTCCCAGCCACCACCGATACCTGAGCTTCAAGTGTCAGTGATGAGTCCAGGAGGACACCCAAACTGCGGACCTGTGACTTTAGGGGGAGTGCAACCCCATCGAGCACAGGTTGCCACCCTATACCCCGATCCGGCTTACGATCGACCAGGAGGACCTCTGTCTTGTCAGGATTGATCCTCAGCTTATTCATCCTCATCCAGACAGCCACAGCGGCCAGGCACTCATCCAATACCCAATACTTCCTTGGAATTACCCTTCTCAGTAATTCTRGCATAATTTCCTCTYTGTCACATTGGGCAATTTTGATTCCGAACCCACTCCTGCAATTCCACATAAGGTTTAATTACCAACAGAAGATTATAGCTGTAGCAATTTATATCTTGCATAATTTATCGACCATCCTCTTAAAAACAGAATTAATTTTCATGGGTTTCAAAATAAACAGACCTGGGAGCAGGTATTCAAGTCCCGGCAACAAGTCACTTGGGTGAATGAGTATAGTGTGCCATTGTTCAGCTAATTCAAATTGGTACTACAAAAGTATCTGTGGATGTAACAGGTCAGATGTTACTTTCTTCACATTGCTGAACCTTATGCACTGGCCTATTGAACATTGGAGCATAGAGACTAAAATACTCAGGCAAATGGAGAGATTTTTTCATGGTGGTAGCAGAAGTGACCATGTGCTGTAAAGTCACATCATGCCAGACTGAGTGGCATGATTTGACTTTTACTAGCTGACCTTCTAGGCTAATAAATGCATGTGAATGTTTTTCCACTGCTGCCAATTTACAACATACAGGAAACAAATCTTGTACAATAACTACCTTCCTGTACTCAGATACTAAATGGAGCCAAATGGATTGGGGCCGGAAGGCCCTCTTTAACAGTTCCTGTGAAAGAGCACTAAGCACAGCAAGTGGATGCTTGGACTCTGTATTGATTTGACAGGGCAATTATGATCAGATTTGATGGACCAGCACCAAAAGGAAGAGGAGAAAGAGGAGGGGGAGGAGGGGTCAGCCTGTATTTTAAAGTGCTCAACATATTCATATAGCCCATGCGATTTTTAAAGATGTTAATTACTTCACGATAGTTCAACTACAGCTGCAGCTGTAATATTTTTGTTAATTCTAATGAGCCATATTTAACAATAAGCTCATTCAGCAATATTATTTTCATGCTTGACTTCACATCAAATGAGTCTCGCCGGAATCTTACATGACCTGTTATAATTACATAAACCTAGCTGCATTGCAAGGGTGCCTAATCCTATGTAACAGAATACCAGCAAGAACGCCCAGTGTGCAACAGAACCAATGCACTTCAGTGAGCTATCATGTGCAATGCACAATACTGTGTGATACATAAAGATGTGCAGTAGGCACCAATCAGGCATTTTGATAACTACATACCTCCTCTTTCTCGCCCTCCTCTTGCTCCTCTTCCTTTTGGTGCTGGCCCAACATACAAACATATAGGAGCCTTGTACTGGATAACTGACTATGCATGACACAACTGTGCAATTGTAATTCCTCAGCTGTGCAAAAACATAAAGCCCAAACTTAATTCTGGCCACATTCACCTTAAATATCAGTTGTTAAATTCAGGGTTAGTTAGGAAATTATTGGGTATGTTCACTGAAGTTAATAAAGAAGGAAGAATAAGGAGTCGATAGGGTCTCTGCGAGGAGAAAATAGGCAAATGCTGACAAGGGATAGAAAAAAGGCAGAACTACTTAATGACTTCTTTACCTCAGTCTTCTCACAAAAAATAAAGCCACCCTCAACCTCAGAAACATGGAGTCAATGAAGAAATAAAAGTAATCCAACCCCAAATAGGGAAACAAGTTGTCCAAGAATACCTGGCCACTTTAAATGAATTCAAGCCCCCAGGGCCAGATCAACTACACTCAGAAGGAACTAGTTGAAGTCATCTTGGAACAATTGGCAATCATCTTTGAGAGTTCTTGGAGAACGAGAGAAGTTCCAGCAGATTGGAGGAGGACAAACGTGGTCCCAATCTTCAAGAAGGGAAAAAAGGACAACTCAAACAATTACTGTCCCGTCAGCCTCAGGTCAATACCAGGCAATATTCTGGAAAAGATCATCAAGGAAGTGGTCTGCAAACACTTAGAAACAAATGTTATCATTGCTAATAGTCAATATGAATGTATATATATAAAAAAGTGATGTCAAACTAAGAAAAAATGAAATGCAAAGATACAGAATGGTGTGTGTGTGTGTGTGGCTCGAGAGCAGTACGTGTGAAAAAGATATTGGAGTCCTCGTGGACAACAAGTTAGACATGAGTCAGCAATGTGATGCGGCGGCAAAAAAGCCAATGGGATTTTGGCCTGCATCAATAGGAGTCTAGTGTCTAGATCCAGGGAAGTCATGCTACCCCTCTATTCTGCCTTGGTTAGACCACACCTGGAATATTGGGCACCACAGTTCTGGGCACCACAATTGACGGGAGATGTTGACAAGCTGAAATGTGTCCAGAGGAGGGTGATTCAAATGATCAAGGGTCTGGAGAACAAGCCCTATGAGGTGTGGCTTAAAGAGCTGGGCATGTTTAACCTGAAGAAGAGAAGGCTGATAGGAGACATGATAGCCATGTATAAATATATGAGAGGAAGTCATAGGGAGGAGGGAGCAGGCTTGTTTTCTGCTGCCTTGGAGACTAGAATACAGAACAATATAGTGTAACTTACTGCCGTTTTGGATAATCATGCATGATTCTTTTTGATCATGTGGGTTTATGTGTGTGTTCCCTGATATAGCATTTATCTTAGTACAATCATTTTGAATAATATAAGATAGAATCCTCTTAGTTGCTCCCAGCTAGAACAGATCCATTAACTCAATGCTGAATGATGAGTTAATACAATAAATTCAGTTGATTCTTGGGCATATTCTAGTAAAGATTAGCATTTGGGACATTTGAAATAAGTGGGCACGCATGCACACACACACACACAATGAGTGACATATTTAAAGATATCTAAAAATTAGAAACACTAAGTCAGGCTCTGGGAGTTCGGGTCTGGTTCAGGCATAGGTCTGGCCTAGCAGTGCAGCAGAACTGTTCAGGACCCTGGACAGAGTTCCCTAGCAGCTGTTTGGCTGCAGCAGATTCCTATGGAAATAGTTATTTCCCCAAAAGGGAACCTTCAGCAGTAGAGGGCTTTAGTTGGTTGATCGACTCAGTTCTCTCATGTTTTTGGCTGCAGCCCTTAAACCTCCCATGTCTTTAACATGATCTTCGTGACTTGGCAAGCTGGAAGGATTTGCCAAGTGGCAGCAATAGGAAAATGCTGACGCTCATATAGCAACCCATCTCTCACTATGGAAGGAAAAATGAAACAACTAAGATCATGACTGCAGAATTGCAGGGAAAGGGGGAAATCGCTTTACTACAGTGTATATGTCATCTGCTTGTTATGTGTGAAGCCAGGCTATTCAATAGAAATCTCTTTTTATGAAACTATTCGCACATTTGGCCATCTGTACTACAAGGAAACTAAGATCTGGGTTCAAAAATAGTATTTTAATTCGAGGTATTAACCAAAGCTGGACCATTGCCTCTTTAGGGAATGGTTGTGATTTTAGGAGCTCTTAAGGAAATCTCTCTTGTAACAATATTCCATCAGTTTTAAGATGAGACACAAGCACACCTTGAAAGTTTTTGAGAAGTCCCCATAAAACCATACATTCTCACGGATTCCCCTGACTAGAAACTTTTGAGTAAGTTCCTTGATTGCCTCAATTTTTTAATTTCATTTTTTGTGACTAAAAAATCTTTAATATTCAACAAACATCCATATTAACTTAATTCTCAGTTTTCCACAAAAAGAAATAAAATATACACATATATGTTGTTGTTGTTGTTCATTCATTCAGTTGTTTTCAACTCTTCGTGACCTCATGGACCAGTCCACGCCAGAGCTCCCTGTCAGCCGTCACCACCCCCAGCTCCTTCAAGGTCAATCCAGTCACTTCAAGGATGCCACCCATCCATCTTGCCCTTGCCCTCTTCCTTTTTCCTTCCATTTTCCCTACCATCATTGTTTTCTCTAAGCTTTCCTGTCTCCTCATGATGTGGCCAAAGTACTTCATCTTTGCCTCTACTCTCCTTCCCTCCAATGAGTAGTCAGTCTTTATTTCCTGAAGTATGGACTGGTTGGATCTTCTCACAGTCCAAGGCACTCTCAGAACTTTCCTACAGCACCACAGTTCCTTTGCTCAGCCTTCCCTAAGGTCCAGCTCTCACATCCGTAGGTGACTATGGGGAATACCATTGCTTTAACTATGCAGATCTTCCTTGCCAGTGTGATGTCTCTACTCTTCACTATTTTATCGAGATTGGACATTGCTCTCCTCCCAAGAAGTAAGCGTCTCCTGATTTCCTGGCTGCAGTCTGCATTAATCTTTGCACCTAGAAATACAAAGTCTATCACTGCCTCCACGTTTTCTCCCTCTATTTCCCAGCTGTCAATCATTCTTGTTGCCATAATCTTGGTATTTTTTTATGTTTAGCTGCAACCCAGCTTTTGAGCTTTCTTCTTTCACCTTGATTAGAAGGCTCCTCAGCTCCTCCTCGCTTTCGGCCATCAAAGTGGTGTCATCTGCATATCTAAGGTTGTTAATGTTTACATATATACAACCATAGACTCATAGAGTTGGAAGAAACCACATGGGCCATCTAATCCAACCCCTTGCCATGCAGGAAAGGTACATTCAAAGCACCCCTAACCGATGGCCATCCAGCCTCTGTTTAAATGCCTCCAAGGAAGGAGCTTCCACCACACTCTGAGGCAGAGAGTTCCACTATTGAACAGCTCATATGGTCAGGAAGTTCTTCCTGTAATTTGAACCCATTGCTCCAAGTCCTAGTTTCCAGGGCAGCAAAAAGCAAGCCTATAAACCATAAACAAACATTACCCATTGTGTGAGATTTTTTAATGAAGCAGAGAGTGTTTGAGGATCAGGACATTTATAGGTATACCAAGATGCTTGTCTATAAAGCTATTGTCCTCCCAATCTGTTGTAGACCTGCAAAACATGGACCATCTACAGGTGTCACTCTCAATTCAGGAAGGATTCCATCAACGTTACCTCCAAAAAATCCTGCATATCTCTTGGAAAACTGGTGGACATTCTATAAGAAGCAAAGACTACCAGCACTAAAGTGAAGATTCTCCACCATCAACTTCTCTGCACTGACCACGTTGTCTGAATGCTCGATTAGTGTCTTCCAAAGCAGTACCTTTACTCCCGGCTCAAGAATGGAAAACAAAAGAGATTATTTATTCCACATTTTAAGGTAAGTTTTAGGCCCATTTTGAAGAGAAAACTGGGAAGTCATGGCCCTGGAGTGTTCTGACTGGAGGTCAGCTGTTACCAATGATGCTATGGATTTTGAAGAAACACAAATAGAGGGCAAAAGGGAGAAACACGCCAAGAGGAAGGCCCATCAAGCAAATCCTTGTCATGACCATCTCCCATCTGGAAATTGGTGTCCTCATTGTGAGAGGCCATGCAGATCCAGAATAGCCCTTCACAACCACTTTCGGACCCACCACCAAGTCTCTACCCTTGGAAGATATTCATACAGTACTTGTCCACGAGTGATTGCCTATAGATACATAGATAGACATACCATTTGACATTGAAATTACATACATTGATATTAAAATACACATATTAGATTTCCAGATTTCCCATCATGGGGGTTTGGAGGTATTTAATTCATAATACTGCCACCAGCTGAAGCTGAAGAGATGACAATTAACAATATTTGGAGGAGCCCCCAGTGGCGCAGTGGGTTAAACCCCTGTGCCGGAAGGACTGAAGACTGACAGGTCGCAGGTTCGAATCTAGAGAGAACGTGGATGAGCTCCCTCTGTCAGCTCCAGCTCCTCATGAGGGGACATGAGAAAAGCATCCCACAAGGATGATAAAAACATCAAAACATCCGGGCATCCCCTGGGTAACATCCTTTCAGACGGCCAATTATCTTACACCAGAAGCGACTTGCAGTTTCTCAAGTCGCTCCTGACACGACAAAAAACAAACAAATGTTTGGAACATTAAAAGTACTACAGAGAAAGAGCTTAAGGGAAAAAAATAAGTTTTGAATTTACATGGGATCTGTTACCAGTGACCTGTTTAAATCCAGATTTCTCGATGTTCAGGTTGACAAAAAATACTAGTGTCTGCACATGGAAGGAATGGAAGGCAATGAACTGGAACTGATCTATTGATCTTGCATGACATCTAGCGTTCACTTTTCAAAATGCGAGCAGAAGCACTCATTTGGAATTTGAATGTGATGTAGCCACAATAATGGCAAAATTGTGGGAGCAGAAAGACCTCAGAATTGAAGAAAAACTTTTTAAAAGCTACCTAACTAGACTGATGCAAATTTCAGAGTCATGGTCAAATTAATCTGGTTATAGGAAAAACAACCCAGTGTTGAGTCACACCTTTTGGTATAGGATAACCTAGAAAGGTAATGAATTAATAGAGCTGGAACATAGAATCCAGAACTTTTTGACCGGAGGGGATGATAGGACTTGCTGAGAGGCCTTCTCCGGACCCTTCTATATTGCCATATAAAATCCAGATTTTCTGCTTTGAACTGGATTATATGGCAGTGTAGACTCATTTAATCTGGATTATGTGGCACTGTAGAAAGGGCCTCCGACAAATGGGCACTTTCCCCTGCTCCCAGTTGAACAGCTAAAAAACCATCTTTCTTGATCTGAGCAGATATGAGAAGAATTCATGGTCAGAAAGAAGAATAGAAAAGATACCAGACAAAAATGAAAGCCAAGGTGGACAAATCAGTAAATATAATAATTCAACTGTCGCTGTCCTCAGGCTTACAATCTAAAAGGGACTCACTTTGAACAGAAAACAAGAGATGATTGTAAGGTGTGTTCATGGTGGTTGTTGGCTTCCAAACCACCACCAGTCAATGGTTACCAACTTTATTGGGGTATTGGGCATCATGTAGATGCCTGTTACAATATGTTGGTAGCAATTCATGATTTAGCAAGGATTTAGGCCAGGCATGGGCTTTTTAAAGATGGTGGCCACATTTTTTTCCCTTGTAAATGTGGCCGTGGTAGCGCAGCAGGTTACAATCCCCTGCAAATACTTTGAGAAGCACTTTAATTACCCATTGGGTTGCTCTTTACTTTTGATTTAAAACCCTCCTAATAGATACATCCTCTGTTCATGTCCAGCATTTATTTTTAAAGTTTTAACTATTACATTTGGCCCAGCCATAAGTTTTTAAATTACTGTGTGTTCTTGTCTACCTGTGAGTTATATTAATTGTATTGTTTATTTTGTTTATTGCTTGTTGTTTTATTATTGCTTGTTGTTTTTGATGTGTTGTTGGGCTTGGCCTCATGTAAGCCGCTTCGAGTCCCTTGGGGAGATGGTGGCGGGGTATAAATAAAGTTTTATTATTATTTTATTATTATTATTAAACCACTAAGATGCATAACTTGCTGATCGGAAGGTTGGCTGTTCAAATCCGGGGAGCAGGGTGTGCTCCCAATGTTAGGCCCAGCTTCTGCCAACCTAGCAGTTCGAGAACTTGCAAATGTCAGTAGATCAATAGGTACCGCTTCTTTGCGAAGGTAATGGTGCTCCATGCAGTCATGCAGGCCACATGACCTCGGAGGCGTCTACGGACAACGCCGGTTCTTCGGCTTAGAAATGGAGATGAGCACCACCCCCCAGAGTCGGACACGACTAGACTTAATGTCAGGGGAAACCTTTATCTTTAAATGTGGGACAGAAGTTGGTTTATCTATTGGATGAGTTCAAGAGCTATGCATGCCTTTTCTGATTTATTTGTCCCTGACCCCAAACCTGACCATTTCTAAGATATCATTTTGCCCATGTGTTATTTTTTATTTTAAGTTGCACAGAAACCTATGAGCTAAAGAAGCTAAGTATAGATATTCAGAACCTATAAGAGAACATAGGAAACAATTCACTTCTGAATAGTTTTAATAATCATTTGCAAACATTATACATGCATGATTATACATAAATTGTTAACCAAGCACACCTATTATTTTGTCTTTGACCTTTAAATGCATAAGAATATACTAAGTGTAACAATCCACATTTTAATCTTATGGGATACCATAGACAGAGCTCAGCAGAGGTTATATTGTTTCCCTCTTCTCCAAAAAATGAAACCTGATGTAAGTTTTAACCCTCTGGTTTATGTTGGTCAGGGCAAAGAGGGCTGAGGGCCCTTCCACACATTCCTATATCCTAGAAAATCCCACATTATCTATGTGTGGACTCAGATAACTCAGTTCAAAGCAGATATTGTAGGATTTTCTGCCTTGATATTATGGAATATAGGGCTGTGTGGAAGGGCCCTGAGACAGGCATAAATGGTTACTTCTGGATGAACACTTTTGCAAACAAAGCACTAAACTAGATAGTTGTTTTGATCTGATCTAGCACAGATCCTCTTAGATTCTTATACAACAACTGCTATTTGTATTGTCCAAAAAAAGTTTCATTTCTGGTAATCCACATGAGAGGGAGGGCGAATGCAGAGCATGTCTGTTGAAGTTCCTGTTTTGAAGACGTTAATCAAATAGCAAAGTACGCCACAATTAATCAGGCTAAAAAGAAACCGACAACGAACTCAACAGGAGTGACTCCATATTACACTCCTTTCTGTGTGAGAGGCACGGAAAAATGCTGGGAAATTAATGAGAAACACACAAATGCTAAAGAAGTCTAACTGCACCAAAAAAAGTGACATCACCACTTAAAACGATGTTAGCTCCACTCCGTGGTATCGTCAGCTGAAGCTCATCTCCTTCTTCTAATTTTGCAATGCCTGCCAAAAGATGTGTATATACTATTAAGTACAGATATTTATTACACAGCTCAACAAAACATTTTTTCTTGGTCTCTTGGTATTTTAGGCCTGTTCCTGGGGTTATTTGGGGCGCTGATTCAGGAAATTGCATTGGATAGATAACATCAGCTCTTGTTTCTTAGATATGGTGTGACAAATGACTGGAAAGTCTGTATTACAAATCTGTGCTTTTGGTATGAAATAAATAGATTTTCATGTAGTTCAGTTCTCTTTTATTTTTTAATATGTTTCCTTCATGCTTAAAGGATATTAATTGAAAAACTACATTAAAATATCGTGATTTTTATGAGTATCTAGAATGAATTTTAAGTTGTTAAATGTATCTATATATATCAAAATGTAATGTTCATTTGTAGGATTAACATAACTCAAAAACCACTGGACAAATTGACACCAAATTTGGGCACAAGACACCTATCAGGCCAACAAATGACCATCACTCATAAAAAAAACACTGAAAAACACAGCGAAAAGGACTTAAAAGCCAAAAAAAACCCTCAAAATACATTACAACAAATGCACAAAACCACATATATACGCAAACACACATATACACAAATATATACACACATATATACATTACACATATGTGTATAACACACACATACACATAACGTAAACATACAATACACAGACTGGACCACAGCAAAGAGTGGCAGGGGACGGCTAGTATCTATATAAATCATTTCTAAAACACACTTCGGTTGTCCATTTACCACATTGCTTTAATGCAATTACAATTTAAATCTGTATGCATATGTCTCTTCCTAGGAATGTCTGGTATGGAGCACCAATGCTGGTATTGGATATAATTTAATGCTAGAATTGGAGTTACTCAGGTTAAAATCAAATATCACTGAGGACTTTGACTCAGGCCCCCTTTATACTGCCCTATATCCCAGGATTTGATCCCAGATTTTTTGCTTTGAACTGGATTATATGAGTCTACACTGGGATCAGATCCTGGGACAGATTCAGCCTCAGTTACATTTTCTCTGACCAAAGTAAAGGTGAGTATAAAAGGGGCAAGAGGACCACTTATGCAATAGTGGTTTTGTTGAGTTGAGGGCAAGACATGAAAGCAGTCAGTAGCACTTTGATACATTGCGATTCACTTAAATCTAGAGCCCATTCAGTAGCATCAGATGTTACAGATGTCATGTATGATCCCTCTCCAAAGCTAACTTGGGGTACATATGTATGTAGAACTATTCGTATGACACCACTTTATCTGCCATGGCTCAATGCTATGGAACCCCGGGATTTGTAGTTTGGTGAAGCAACAGTACTTTTGAACAGATAAAGCTAAAGATGTAAAACTACAACTCCATGATTCCATAGGATTGAGCCATGGCAGTTACAGTGGTGTCACATTGCATTAATTCTACATTGTAGCTGCACAAAAACTCTCTATCATAGAAATAGGAAGCCCATGACATTTCCACAAATGTACGTTAAGGACAACAGATTGGATGGATTGTGCACTTTGTCCTCTATCACCCAAAGACCTGACCTACCTAGCTGTTTGACTCAGCTCTCGGGATTAGCTAGTTACCACAATGCTAAATAAATAATCTGGTTTAATGAGTGATTGTGCTTTTCCTACATGGCAGGTGGTTGGACAAGATGACCCATGCTGTCTCTTCCAACTCTACTGTTCTATGATGTACCACTTCAGCTGCCTGGGTGACCAGAGGCAGCCATCCAAGCTTTTCATGCTGTGCCTAATTAACACCATCAAAGTGACATGGATAAATAGACATTTTTTTGGAGGGTCGTGTCAGGAGCAACTTGAGAAACTGCAAGTCACTTCTGGTGTGAGAGAATTAGATGATGTATAGTTTGAATGAAATTGTATGAAAGATGTATAGTTGGAGCTTGGAGATGCCATTCTAAGACTGAATTCTGGAAAACCACTGAACTCATAAATTGTAATTAAGTTACTGATGAGAACTGCTGACATGACCAGAGACAAATGATTAACTGTTGAACTCTTGGTGGAAAACAACATGTTTACATTATCAAAGATGATGACTCTTTAAGTTAAGAAGGGAGCATAATAAAACCAATTCTCACTTAAAGAAGAAAAGTCAACATCTGTCCAGGAACTGATGGATTCAGGATGTTTTAGCTGGAAAAACAGCTGTCATTCATTTATAACTTTCAGAACCACATAAACAAAAATAGTGTTATATAAAAGGCACTTTGCATTCCAAAAATTGTAGCAGACCAGAGGAGTCTGGTCCATCCACCAAACTTCTCCAAGGAACGGAGAGTGTACTGCAGAATGGCAAATTTTCTGGGAACGCAAGATGGCCTACCTTGCGTTCTCTTTTCCAGAAGAAAGAAGAAGAGGTAGTAATGTATGAATGATAAGGAATGAATATTTATATGTGTGTGAATGCTGATCAAAATGTATGATCTTCTTGTTTGTGTACCCAATATAGCTACAGAGTCTGTGTGTCTACGTTCTTTCTCGGTATTACTCTGTGATATACTCTGTCTCATTGTGAACAAAATAAAAGAACCTTTTAAATGCTTTTTAGAGTTCAAAATAGAATTCATGGCTCAAAGAACATGCAAAGAAGAGGAATTTGAACAGTGGAACTCTCTGTCTTGGAGTGTGGTGGAAGCTCCTTCCTTGGAAACTTTTAAACAGAGTTTGAATGGCCATCTGTCAGGAATACTTTCCTGCATGGCGCGGAGTTGGACTAGATGGTTCATGTGGTCTCTTCCAACTCTATGATTCTATTATTCTAAGACAGGGGTCCTCAAACTAAGGCCCGGGGGCTAGATACGGCCCTCCAAGGTCCTTTACACAACCATCGCTCAGGGTCAACCTGTCTGAAATTACTTGAAAGCATACAACAACAACCCTATCTCATCAGCCAAAAGCAGACCCACACTTCACATTGAAATACTAATAAGTTTATATTTGTTAAAATATTCTTCATTTTAATTATTGTATCGTTTTTAAGTGTTTTTGCATTACAAATAAGATATGTGCATTGTGCATATGAATTCATTCATTTTTTTAAAAAAATTATAATCCAGCCTTCAACATTTTGAAGGACTGTGTTCTGGCCCTCTGTTTAAAAAGTTTGAGGACCCCTGTTCTAAGATTTCTGGAACTCTTGCAAGAAGCTAAAATTCAGGGAATTGTGAGGACTATGGCGAGAGAACGTCTAGAGTCCAACATCCACCCACAGTCTAACCTAACTTTAAAAAAAACAACTATCATGGTGCCAATTTATTTTCACAACATTCTTTCTCATGGCCCCAGAAAGGAGCTTGTTAAGAACAGTGTGCTCAGAGCAGGTGCCATGCTTACCAGCAGTATAACAAGAGTTATTAGGATTGGTGGCCGGCATGTTTTGGATGCAGCGGAATAATGTAACCAGACTAAGGTCATCACCAACAACATGAGCCTTTCTCCTCTGGATCATATGTCCCATTACAAATAATTCATCTGTATATAAAACCTGGAGAATAAGGACAAATTTCATTACCACTATATATAATGCTCTCTCTCTCTCTCTCTCTCTCTCTCTCAATTATATGGGTATTTGCTGAAATCTTTTTTTTCTCATTTTACCTGGCCATAAATGAAAAAGTAGCCAGTTTCTCTGACCAGTATTTTATTCCCTTGTTCTTCCAGAGCAGTTCCTCTTTTGAAACTAAGAAGCCAAGGAACCAGACTTGAATCATCTAAAAATAAATAAAAGATTTACTTTAAGAAGCAATTGAATCATTTCATACATTGTTCCAGGACTTTATCACATTAGAAAATACTCCATTCCTGAGACTGTTTGAGAATGATTTCGAACAGGTCCCAACACATGACATTTGCCCCATTCTGTTGGTATTCTGTCAGAATCTGTCTGCAAAGCATTGAAGAAACCGATTATTTTGCAGACAGAATTCTAATCATGTTTTTTGAAATACTATGGATTTTTCCATTGCTGAAGTGTAATAAGAAATTCAATGTGCAAATTTGATAAATGTGAATTTAATATGACATGTTGGAATGAATGGAAGAATGGAAGATGAATGTATGGATGGAGTTAATAATTTTGGTAACACCAGTATAATATTAAGGCCTGCAATTACTAAAAATATATTGTCAAAGGCTTTCATGGCCGGAATCACTGGGTTATTGTAGTTTTTTTCGGCCTATATGGCCATGTTCTAGAGGCATTTTCTCCTGACGTTTTGCCTGCATCTATGGCAAGCATCCTCAGAGGTAGTGAGGTCTGTTGGAACTAGGAAAAAGGGTTTATGTATCTGTGGAATGACCAGGGTGAGACAAAGGACTCTTGTTGTTGTTGTTGTTGTTAACCCATTGTATGCTGATCAAGGTGGTCAGTTGAAAGATTCACACCTAGCCCAACTTACAAAAGCCCTTTGTCTCACCCTGGTCATTCCACAGATATATAAACCCCTTTATTCCCAGTTCCAGCAGACCTCACCTCTGAGGATGCTTGCCATAGATGCAGGCGAAACGTCAGGAGAAATGCCTCTAGAACATGGCCCTATAGCCCGAAAAAACCCACAAGAACTGACTAACTACCTGCTTGCTGGAACTGGAAAATCTGTCTGCATCCCATCAGCAACTATACTTTTAAAAATCATAGAGCAATGTAGGAGGTTTTTGAATGGATTAGGAGGAGCCAGCCTTCTGTGGTATGATTAGTCAAAGCACAGTATTTTCAGATAATAAGAATTGTAATAATCAGGTATGATGAGGGGTGTATGCATCCCATGTCAATACAGTATGCATTCAATCCTTTAAAAATATGGGATGCATACTGATATAAAGAGATGATATCCCAGTGTGATAATGTCACCAGGGTTATTTATCAAACAGAGAAAACTACAGATGATCAGATGATTTTACACTGAAGACCAGAAAGTTTTACATCTGAGATGAGATCCAAAGAGCTGTGGGAGGAAAGAGCTTCTTCACAGAGACCAGAATTTTTTTGTGTGTGTGGATTTACCAAAACTGAGGACCCTCAACTTGTCACAGCCTTCTGTCTTTGTCAAAAAGCCACTATGGAAATGTGGTGACTCACTAGCATTCAATGTCATTACACCAAAGTGGTAGCGCACCATGTGAAACTGAACCATAGGACAGTACTGCAGAAGACTGCTCACAAGAATAAGAGAACACTGCATTACCATTTTGCTGAATGTCCCTTTTGCTGTCAGCCATCAGTTGCAGACATGACTGTAGCACTAAAGAGAAAGATTTAAATTAGAAGGTAGGTGGATGCCATTGGAATTCAAACCCACACTGCCCAAGTCTCAAAGTCCTCAACGAAGAACAGTTTAGTTAGCTTAGTATATACCAGGGGTCCTCGAACTAAGGCCCGAGGGCCGGATACGGCTCTCCAAGGTAATTTACCCGGCCCTCGCTCAGGGTCAACCTAAGTCTGAAACTACTTGAAAGCACACAACAACAACAATCCTATCTCATCAGCCAAAAGCAGGCCCACACTTCCAATTGCAATACTAATAAGTTTATATTTGTTAAAATTGTTCTTCATTTTAATTATTGTATTGTTTTTAAGTGGGGGTTTTTGCACTACAAATATGTGCAGTGTGCATAGGAATTCATTTACTGTTACCGCAATTGTGTTTATTGTAATGTAATTTTGTTACTGTATTCATATCTTTTTTTTTCTATGTAATTTTGATGATGTTGCTTGTTGTTTATGTTTTGGTTTTATTTTGCTGTAACATGTCTGGGCTTGGCCCCATGTACGCTGCTCCAAGTCCCCATAGGGGAGATGGTGGTGGGGTATAAATAAAGATTATTATTATTATTATTATTATTATTATTATTATTATTATTATTATTATTGGGGGGTTTTTCAAATTATAATCCAGGCCCTCCAACGGTTTGAGGGACTGTGACCTGGCCCTCTGTTTAAAAAGTTTGAGGACCCCTGGTATAGACTAACGGTTTCCCTTCCACCATGTCTCCGGAATGACAGTTGGGAATGTATTATTTTTCTTCTCTCCTCTCTGTTTCTGCTCGCATTCTGATTGGTTGTTTAAAATTGATATTTTTCCACTGCAAACCTTTTTGAATCTGACTTCTGATTGGTTGTTTAAAATGGATATTTTTCTACTGCAAACCTTTTTGAATCTGACACTTTAGTATGGAGAGTATGTGCTGTGTGCTTTGAGATCGCTCTCTGCTTGTGTGTCAGGAGAGATGTAATGATTGCTGTTTTTCCCTCTATGGAAACCTTAGAAGAGATGGGTGTTAGAGTAGCTCAGACCCAGTTCTTGATTATTTAGAAAAGCAGTTACACTTTGTAATGGTAGCAGTGGTAGCAGTGTTCCTAGACTTCAATATTATCTAATTATTTTGATCATTAAGACCAAATAAATTCACCATGTACTATCCTGGCATAGCAATGCTCCCTATTTCTCTGGCCTAACAGCTTGTTTGGAGTAACAGACCATGCTGGACTAAAACAAAGGACTGTGCCACTTTATAAAATATTTCTAATCTATGTGTTGTCGATAAACACATGGCATTTACTCTCCTTCAACAGCGCTTATGGTTATAGCGACACACATACGTCTTCAGGTATATCTCTCTATAGATCAATACAATTATATCCTCCAACTGATCAAAGTAGCCATTATTTAAGTATTACATTTCTATTCTACCTTTCCAGCATATGATGGTAATGGCAATAAAGGAAAAATACAGTTAAGACAATAATGCAGCAGATATTTACTGTACAGGGTGTGTAGTTTTAGCCAATGTTTCTATATAAAGCATTTTGATATATCTGATTGTGTGTAATTTGATTGCCCAGTTTCGACAAAGAAAAAAGCCGTAGCAAACCACAAGACTGTGCCAGTGTTTCAAATAGAGTTGCCAGATACAGATTGTCACAATTTTTGGGTCCTTTTCACTCTCCAAACAAAGTAAGTACAGTTCTCTCAACAAATCAAATATCTACCACTTTGTTAGTTCTTATTCCCTTTCCTTGGCAGTTTCCCAATAGCTCATACCTGGCCTCTCTGTCCAGATCTCTCACCTGTTTCACCTGAAGACCTTTTCTTCCTGTGTTGCTCTCCATTCCGCATGGCCTCTTGGCTACTTGGATGTGGTCTGAAAGCAGCCCCCTACCAATGGCATGAGAACACAATACATTAAGGCTGCAATTCCAGTTTTTCTCTATCCAAATACCTCCCCCTGAAGCCTTACAACGCACCTGGCTCGTAGAACCTTCCGACTTCTTCCAGTGGGGAAGGAACGGACTGGCCTCTTTCCTTTTCTCCAGAGACCCCAAGGACAGTGAGGATGGAAGCCGTGCTTGGACTCTGGAGTTTAGCTTGCTAGTCAGAATGGTTAGTTCCGTTTTCAAGACAGTAACATAGTAAAGTGAGACCGCTGCAAGACAAGAAGACACAAGCACTGCAAGCCCTAGCAAGATCAGCAAGAGCCCTTTGTACTTAGAACCAGATGCTGAAGGGGAGGGGTTGCTCTTTCCTCGCCGGTGACCCATTAACATCTTGACTCCTGTCTTGAAAGCCAGGTGTTTCTCACTCCAAAGAATGGATCCAGTTGGCCAGCTGCATCCACAATGTGCAGCCAACATATACTTCCTGTTATATGGGACTGTTGATAAAAGCATTAAATGTTGTGCGACTGTACAATTTGTGGCTTTGTTCCTCTACACACCTTCCTCATTTCAGTTTCAGATTCATTTTATAAGTGGCTAGCCCAACTGTTTTGTGCAATTTGGATTGTTTTGCCCTTTGATTCAAACATGGCAAAGCAGAAAGGATAACATATACTTGCCTCTTTTGTCATTCCAGAGGGTGGGAGCAGCCACTGAAAAGGCTATTACTCCAAACAGAAACTAAACAGGGACCTTATCACATTGGGATTTTTTTCCATGTCAGGAACAACTTGAGAAAGTGAAAGTCACTTCTGGTGTAAGCGAATTGGCCATCTTTAAGGACATTGCCCAGGGGACATCCGGATCACTCAAATCCCTGCCTCGAGCATTCTGGTGGGAGATAAAATAAACACTTTCCCAAAGTATTGAGTATAATATCCATTAGATGACCTGCATGGGTGTTTTTTAGGATGTTCTCTGTGTCAGTTACATGATAGGTCCAGTGCTAGAGATGCCAGAGTGTAGGTGCAGATTCCTACTTCCTTATTTGTATACCATAATCCCATACTATTGCCCATGGAGACAAGGAAAACATGGCATTTTATCTAGTCTTTGTATGCCCTTTATTCATAGTTATCAGGAAAATGTTCATCAAAACACGTTTCAGCATTAGATCACACAGTTCCAACTTCATATCACCCTTTTAGGTTTTAGTTATGTGGAGCAAGAATGCTTAAGATGTCTAGTACCAAATGTTCTTGATTTCAAGTTCCATCATCTGTTGGTATACTGGTTTGGAGTCTATAGCTCCAAAGCATTGATATGCAGATCCTGCTCCTCAGCAGATCACTTGCTTTATAATCTGTAATGTGATATAAGACTTTTCACCCTGTAAAGGCAGCCGTGGCTTGTCATGATGAAAAGGGCATGTCCTGTATGAGGTGCACTAATGTATCTACCTGATGAGTTTGTCTCTTATTGATGCTGCTGCTAAAGATACAGGGATACTCCAGTGCTGTCATGTCCACTTTGCATAGCAATTATATAACTTGACTGATCTCATATGAATACATGCAAATGGAACTGTAGCCATCAACAACAAATGCCCTAATAAAGCAATTGATCATATTAAAAAGGAAGGTTTGCAGATGGAAGAGAATGTCCTCTGTTGGTGTCAACTGGGATTTTTTGGCAGTTGATGCACAGGCCAAGATTGTTGGGGAGGTAGAGAAAGAACCTGGTGGTGCATACAAGAGAAAGTCTAGATGTTGAGACCAGTAACCAACTCTCAAAATAGGGAAAGATGAGAAGCCTTCTGCTGCCTGAGGTGTGCCATCACTATTGACCTCACCTTGTTGAACGTTGAGAGGCTGAATGGGAGAACCTTCAATAAGTAACATTTGCTATGAATTGCAAATCAAAGATTTTAAAATTGTATATATCCCTCATGTGGATGGTGGTGAACCAATCTTATTTCTTGTCCCATCCTATCTAGCATTTTGCCTTCCCTCTCTTGTTGGAAGAAGAAGCCGTGATAGGTTTTCCCAACAAATGCCCACTTTCATAAGAGAGGGGAGGGTTACCTTTTGTTCACTCTGGAAGTAGAACTTGAAGAGTCTGAAAAGCCACAGGCTCCACATCAATAACATGGTCATAGGCCTCACATCTGTAGATCAAGTTTCTATAATTTCTTCTGTGTCTTCCTAGAAAGAGGGCAAAATAGCTGCCAAGTTTATTTATTTCATATCAAAAGCATTGCATAAATTGGTATAAAACTGATAAAAATAGAAGGCGTGCAGGTGGCTAAATATCTTTTGACCAAAAATGGGCAACGGCATTGTCTGTAGCCTCCAACAATTCCTCCTCTGTACATGAGGCAGGGCACAGTGGGCAAGCATATAGATGTGGAGTTGTTTCTTCTGCTCCAAGTCACACAAGGTTTGGGATTCTTTTAGGTAATGCCATTTTGCCAGGTTGTCTTTTGATCTGCCCACTCCACTTCTGAGTCTATTCAGGGACTTCCAGGTTGCCCATTCTTAGTTTGCCCCTGGAGGAAGATACTTGTGGGGGGTCATCCAGTTGGGATTTCCTGGTTTAGCTGCCCAGAGGGATACCCTTGCTGTTGCTGGGGGGATGCCAAGAGGAGTGGTAGTTCTCATAAAGCTTTTCCTTGATTTGAGTCTACTGGGAGGAGGCTGGTATCCATGTAGTAGATGGCTTTCACAGTGTTCAACCGTATTTCTCTCACATTTAGCAGCAACTTCCCGTCGCACATCGGGGGAACAATGCCAGCTAGCTTGGGGGACACGGAAAGAGCCTCCTTGAAGACTGAGTAGATAGAGTCAGGCATCGCCCAGGCAACGTTTCTTGTAAACGTCTAATCTTTCCAAATCCAAAAGCATTGCTTTTAAACATTTGAAGCTGCCAAGTAGGGAAATTAGAAGATGAAGGAAAAGAATGTAATGTAGAAGGCCCACTGCTATTGCTGTGACAGAATAGAAAAAAATAAGGCCACTGGAACATGCCTGTAGAGGAGGCAGAACAGAACTATTGCCCACATTGAAGTACTCAAAAGGTTCCAAATGGTGTGACTGTGCAGTTGAAGATTCAGATGTGGGAAATCAGAAGCTATGACAAAGAAGTATAAATATACTAAAAGCAGACCATGTACACTGAGAAAGAGGAAGTTAACACCCATTGTAAATGCAGCAATTTATTACACATTCCAACATATACAAATGAAGCAAAAAAAACTATTACAAAAAAATGTATATTTTTAGAAGCAAATCCCCCTGAATGACACCAAAATGGAAAGGATAGCTAAAATCCCAGGGGACAGGATCAGAATCCAAATGGATCATAACAGATTAGAGAGCTGAGGTAAAACAAATAAGATGGCGGTACTACTTCCCTACCCAGACATTCTAACAGTTCAGAAGCAGTGCCACTGCCAAAAAAGCAGGACAGATTGGGGCTTCTTTTAGGTTCACCCAGGACGAGATAGGATCTCAGATTTTGCCACCCTACTCAGAGAAAGGGGTTATTCCTTTTCTGAGTAAAGGTACAGTACTTACATTGACTCGTGGACAAATCAATGCAAGTTTTGGGGGTTGATTTTGTTGACTAACATTTCTATAAATGAATATATAGGATAGATATATATATTGCTATATCTACCACTTAAAATTGACAGAATTTCATGTCTATGATTTTTTTTGATCTAGCAAACCAAAAGATAAAGCCATACATTTAGAAAACATTCAACAATAGTCATGTTGGACATGAAGCAAAATACAACAAAATCCAAAATCAATACATTAAGGTTATACCCTAATTAGATCAATCAAGAGGTGCAAAATGTATTGCATTAATTTTTGAACTGCACTGATTTTACCATCAGCCAAAGATGTCAAATGTATTGTCAAAGGTTTTCATGGAGTAATCAATGGGTTGCTGTGAGTTTTTCAGGCTGTATGGTCATGTTCTGGCAGCATTCTCTCGTAATGTTTTGCCTGCATCTGTGGCTGGCATCTTCAGATCCTCTGAAGATGCCAGCCACAGATGAAGGCAAAATGTTTGGAGAGAATGCTACTGGAACATGGCCATACAGCCCAAAAACGCACAACCCAAAGATGATGAAAATTGTACAGGAGAGAGATAAGAGACAGTATCAGAGCTGGGCCTGCATCTTGTTAGAAACTAAATTCATTACCCAGCTTTTGTCTTCATGGCCAAGAAGGGATAAATTCTCCACCTGCATCATTCTCCATCACAACTATTTTAAATACCAACGTAAGAAAATATTTCAAACATGATATAGGCCTGACTGTAAAACTGCCACTTTACTTCTCTTCTGTGGTGAAAATAATCTGTGCATTTTGAAAGTCAGTTCATTGTACCTAATGTATCACTGAGATATACATTTTGGCATTAATTTAGTAAATAATAATGGGCTTGTGAAACTCTACCCTTAAACCTTAATAAATATTGATTTTTATGGTGCTTTGGCCAATAAATCCACTGCAATTAAACAGTTAGGTGACAATAAATTAAAATCTTAAACATCTGCCACTACAGCGCTACATAATTTCACATTCTTCCAATCATTGCTTGCACCAAAATGGAGGAGATGGTTTTACAATTTTGATAGGGGCACAACCTGAAACCAGATCTCGCCAGCATATTCTCCAAATGGTTCTCAATGCAAAATGGAACCTAAATTGTAAATGGATATTAAACTCTGGTTGTACATAAACATTACCTTGGAAGAAAGAGTTTTTCTGTCCCTTTCAGATAGGTTATCATACCTGGAAAAACAAGAATCATCCTGAACTAGATCAGAAAGCTTAAAATGTCATGAACTTTTAAAGTAAACTTTGAAATTCTGTGCCCAGCTGCTTTAATTATCCCAAAAGCTATTTTAAGTACAAAAATATGATAAACTTATTTTCTTCTAAAACATAAGAATCTCCAAGTGTGTATAATTCAATCTAGTATGGAGAAAGGTGTGTTATGTTTACAACAAATTGAATATTATAAATATTGCTTCGAACACAATTATGCCAATCACATAATTGTGTTAGGCAATTTCTGTATTTGGAGAGGCATTTCTATATGGTTGCTTTAGCTACATTCTTTATGTGAATGCATTCGTATACTTGATATCTATCCCATAGGATCATCTTTAAGTCAGGGATTGAGAACATTTGGTTCTCCAGATATTTTGGTCCACAACTCCCTCCAATATACTCAAAGAAAGAATTGTGTAATTTATGGTCAAAGGCTTTCATGGTCGGAATCACTGGGTTGTTGTGTAGTTTCTGGGCTATATGGCCATTTTCTAGCAGCATTTTCTCTTCAAGTTTTGCCTGCATCTGTGGCTAGCATCTTCAGAGGATCTGAAGGAGAAAATGTTGCTATAACACAGCCATACAGCCCAGAAACCACACAACACTCCAATTGTGTAATTATCCCCTTGTAGACCAAAAGTCCCTCCACCCATCCATCAAATATTGTACAAGGTGGTTTTAAGATCAGGCATTTAAAATATCATATAAACATTGAAGGTAGAGAGATGTTTCCAAAATGAAAGAAACCAGAACAGAACCATGAAAGACAGTAAAGTGCAAATACTACAATTAGTGAAACATATTCCATGATATTTTCTGCAAAATACACAGGATAGAGTTTACACAGCATAATGAACACAGAGAAAATGGATAATAAGTTGGGGAAGATGGCAAGGAATATAGCATGTAACATGAAAGGGCATAAAGGAATCAAGGAAAAATCAGACATAATAAAACTTCACAATGAAAGAATGCAAGATTTCACTATCCTACAAAACATATGCATATGCTATTACACCACTTTTGTGCTCTCAAAACAAGGCATTGACAGAAGTATTTTTTTAAAAAAAATGTATCTTGAAATAAATCAAAAAATAAGTGGCAGCTTCTATAAGATTCTGAGGCAATCTAGAACAGTTAAGGGTATTTTTTCTTGGAAAGGAAACCTTTCATAGCACACGTATTGTTTTGAGGAAAAACCCAGAGCCAAGAATGACCTGATTTTGCTGAAGAATGCACAATATCAAACCCCTAATTTTTTAGTACTTATGTCTTCACTATTTGTTCCGACACAACCATTTCAAAGTTTACTTGATCAACTCTTTTTATTTCACAAATACTTCACGAGAAATAAGATATTGGCTTTTATGGATAAATAGTTGTGGTTTATATTAATGTTTTATCTAGTCATGTGATTTACATAGATAACTGCATAACTGCATCAAGCAAAATGGCTAAAAACCCTACCTTGACATAAAGTTCCAGGGAAAAGGTTTATTCATCATTATTATTTGTCCATTGAGAAAAAAGATTTAAAAGTTTTCTAAAATAGCACAAAAGCTGCAGGGGGGGAAGCATAATAAATAAAATATGAAAAATATTCCTATTCCTCTATGTTGCCCAATTGCCATTTTAGTAATGATCAGTGTTTCAGTAAGACTGTTATATAGCTGCATTTTCCATCTCAAGGATTTTGGAGGATGAGCCATCAATGGCACCAAGAATTTAATTTAAAAGAAGCCAATATTTTAGTGCAAGAGGCAAACACAGCAGCCTGTAGACCAACAAGGCTGCTTAACTTTGTCAATGTATTACAATATCAAAATTACTGCAGCATCTACTTTAAATGCATAATTTTTCATTTGTCCTTAAGGCAGAATATGATATTTAGAAGTCATATATGTAGCCTTGTCTGAGTTAACTGCATACTGCTTTACTGCAGTATATAACTTTAAGCGTACAATATCACTCATGCATAACAACAGAATTTGGGGTTTATCAAAAACACCAAAGCTGCAAAGTATGTTCTGGTAACCATATACACCTTTGACATCAAAACATGCATGATCTGTAACAAATTTGCTCTTCCCTTAAAATCAGCATAGCTTTAATTCAGCAACAATTTGATATAATGTGTCTTTATGAAAAGGGTCTTAAAATTAGCATTAACAAACTAAGTATTCCTCCATTTACAGTACTGAATATAAAAACTATCTGGATCACAAATTAGCAGATCTCTCCATGTTTAATTGCATTCTTTAGATAGGTACAGACAGAGCACACATTTTCAAAATGGTCATTCGTTATCACTTTCCACAAGTCCAGGTACAATCAGAAAGACAGGTTGGAATTAGTTATATTATTGTTACATTTGATGACATTTTTTCTGTTTCTTCGGGGGAGTGACTCTTTAGCACTTCTTTAATGAACTGTTCAAGTGCAGTGAAGTAGCCTTGGCACTGCCAAGTGTCATTATGAGTTCCATCTGGAAAAATGGCTAATCTTTTAGTCCGAGCAGGGGAAAGTTCATAGAGTTGTTTCATCATAACTGGAGGAATCAACTGGTCAGCAAGCCCAGAGACGAAAAGGGAAGGCATTCTGCACTGAGATATTTTTCGATAGGAGAGGAACTTGTTTTTATAGCACCACAAGGGAAGATACCTCATGGGGAAGAAAGAAAACAGCGTGGTGGCCATATGTGGGATGCTAAGGAAGGTGTTCTCCACCATGATGGCAGAAATTCTATGGGAATTCTCAGATGCTAGCTGAATAGCAACTGCTCCTCCCAAGGAACGGCCAAAGAGGAAAATTTTTGTCTTATCAAGATCAGACCTAGTCATGATGTAGTCTAAAACAGCCTCCGAATCTAAGTAGATGCCTTCTTCGCTTGGTTCGCCTTCACTTTTCCCATAGCCTCTATAGTCAACCAGCAGTAAGTTGACTTTCAAGTTCACTAGCATCAACAAGGCATTTGGAAGTCTGTGACCAATGTTTCCGGCATTCCCATGAAAGTAAATGATAGTAGGCGAATATGAGGAATTGTCTCCTGTGTATCTGAGAAGAATTAGATTGAGCAATACACCATCTTTGGTTCTGATGAAGATGTTTTCATGAGGAATGCCAGTAGGCATAGGAACATAAAGCCGTGATGAAGAGGGCTGCTCTGGGAAATAAAGCAAGACATCCTGGAATTTATACAGTATACCTGCAATAGACACAAATATTAACAAAGGCAGAAACATGCCTCCATACAAATGGAAAGTTACTATCAAAGGTAAGAGGGAAATACGGCAAAGGGCCCAGGACCATGACACCAAGGCAAGTAGCCACTTCTCAATGAAAGTCCAGAGCATCCATGATTTTTCCATTATAACAGTCAATGAATCCTTAGTCAATATGAATCCTGAAAGAAAAAAAATACATTTTGAATTATAAAAATGTTCACATTTCTACAACAATGAAACATATTACAATAATAGGATTGCTTCTGATGAGGAAAAAGCAGCAAATACAACTATGAACAACTACTCATTTATTCTAGATACATTCCATATATTGTTGGTTTGTTAACATTAATATAATTACAGTTTCGAGAGTAAGGTTAAAGTGTCGGTGAAATGAGGCAGTGGAAAGTTCTACTGTTCAGGATGAGTTCTTTTAAATCAGTTCAATTTAAATCATCATTAAATCCCCCTCCCAGACTGAAATCAAAATTTTCACCATCAAATCCCGGTATTCACTGTACAAGAATTCCTACTGCCTATTTACCAGTATAGTAGCATTTATTATGATAAAGTGGGTGACCCTTCTGAAATAAATGGTGAGAAGTATTTTATGGCTGGTTAAAAACCTCAACAGTGTAAGCTTTGATGTATTGCATATGCCATTATTTAGTTCAATTATGCCAAACTCTACTTTTAACTACAAAGGCTGATGAACAAAAGTTAGAGCTTGAAACTGATTTAAAGAATTCTGTTGACGCACCAGTAAATCCTGTCCACTAATCCCACCACATCCCCTTGCTTTGCAGAAAAGTCATTTTGAGGACTGCCACACCAACCATACTGGAGCACTTTATGCTCTCCAAAAGCGTATGCTGAGGGACTGTCATAATCATAAGAGTCCTTAGCAGGAGTAGGACACCTGGAAACACCACCTGAGGTAAATGTGTCTCTTCCACTCACACTGGGAATCTTCTGACCATTATGATCAGAGGGTGAAAACTGTGCAGGGAGGGATATTCATTAAGATCACTTCTTTGACAACACCCTGCAACATTTTAACTGAATAAACATGATGACAAATGCAAATTCAAATCCCTCCAAAGTTACCAAGAGTGACAGATATGCCTGTTGCCCAAAAGTGATGACCACAGCCATGCAGGGAGCTGGCAATAGCCCCCTGAACCTCAGAGCATTCCCATTCTAGGACTAGAGAATGGTTTGATACCATGTGTATAAGATTTTAAAATGAGGGAAGTCAAACTCTGGCACACAGGGAACCCATCCCCATCTTCTCACATTTTTAGAGAAGGGCTGCCAGCAATGTTTGGCTTCAATTTCCCCAAAGCCCAGCTTAGTGTTGCATACAGCTCAGGCAGAATCCTAACATGGAATTCTTTGAAACTGAAAGGATACCTTGCAAAGGTCCATAATCTGGCTCCACAGAACAAGAAGAGAGGATGTGTGAGGGGGATTTCACTCCTGTCTTCTGGGGCTTGTTGACCAAGTACAGGGAAGGGCATCTACTTGAGATGTGGAAGGCGAAGAAAGTCCACAGTGGACTTCAACGAGCTGTCTACACCCATCCCCCATACCCACCTTGCTTTTTTAAAAGGTGATTAAAAGATTATCTATTGTGATCTATGTTACATAATTTTACACAACTCTCCTCCGCAAACTACCTACTTCCTTCTTTTATCTCGCCCGAGTTTTAATTAGTTTTAATCAGTTTGTCTTTTAATCATTACATGTAGGCCGCCCATTGTTATTGTAATTTTTTACATTGTTATGTATGCATATGTTTTATGTTAATATGTTATTGTTCGCGTTTTTGGTTTGTGTTTTGGTTTTTTCTTTATTGTAATTGTTATTTGGGCTTGGCCTCATGTAAGCCGCTCCGAGTCCCCATCGGGGAGATGGTGGCGGAGTATAAATAAAGTTTATTATTATTATATTATTAAGTGGTAGAAGTGCTAAAGAACCCTGTTAGTGAATTGTCAAGATTTATAACAGGACACTGACAAGAGTGTCCTGATGAACACTGTACTCTAAAGATGTACATCAGCACTCCCTAGTCAGTATCCCAGTGTGTATTGGGCCCATACATAATGTAACAGTAGTCCCTTATTGAATATGAACACTGAAAAACTGCTCAATTCTATTTCTCACCACGTCCCCTCTACAACTCTAGGTGGAATGAGTTTGGGTTGCCATGCTTTTTTATATTCCTGATCTGTTTTAGATCTTTTAGATCTTTTTAAAAGCAGGGTCAGCTGGAAAGGGAAGAAAAACCAAAACTAAGCTGCCCACACAGTAGAGCATGCTGAACAACAAAATTGATTTTCACACATAAAAATAAATAGTGGTGTGGGAACATTCTGAAATCATAAAAACAACATGAGGCCGTTTTCCTCATCTCTTGGCACATTTGCATTGACCATTTAATCTAAAGGTTCCCCAAATTTGCTCCATGGAAGCAAAACGCTGAACAGAGTCGATCTAGGGCAAACCCACTTTAAGGCAGTCTTGACCTGTGTTAATCCAAGTCATAGGACACTCCAAAATCTGGCCAGAATTCAGAGCAACCCATGATTTTGGGCCCACATAAATAGATGCCTCGGTTCCAAGACAAATACAACTGTTCACACTGCCATCCTGTATTTCCCAGGCTCATCAGCCAGGGCAACTGAATGATCTGGGAAAGGAGGGAGGACAAAGAGGGAGAGATTCCTTCTTTCCCTTCTCCCCCATACAACATCACTGCAGGTAACAGATGAACAGCGGGGTCCATTGAAATCTTGGTTTTGGGACCAGGCTTTCGGACAATAAACATAAAGCAGCACTTTGATTGGAAATGGATTGGCAAGACAATATATATGAGGATATGGTTTTATTGTTCTATCAACAGGTTTGTAGACTGAGTATTGTTTTCAATTAATGACTGTTATGATAATTTGGTTATAATTAATTGCTATTCTTTTTACCTTGTATGTATTTATGGTTTTATACTGTGTTATTGATTTGTGGCATCGAATTGCCGTCTATGTTAGCTGCTCTGAGCCCCCGCACCCTCCGGGGGTTGAGAAGGGCGGGGTAAAAATGCTGTAAACAAATAAAATAAAATGTCATGCCTAGGAGATTACTGTGACACATAAAATTTGAGTGTATGATAGGGTTGGCCATCCAAAGGTACCAAACCAGGTTCAGCACCGCTGGGCAGTCAGGACTTCCTCCCAGTTCCACAATGGTAGCTGTGAAAACCACCTTGAGCTGATCCCATGTAAACTATGCCAGATGAGCCCCAAGATAATGGGTTAGTGTAGATCCGCCCTCTGATAAAATGCCTCGCTCTGGATTAGAATTATTATGTACAAGTCATCCTATTTTCCTAACTTTAAAATTTCTTGGGTAAACAATTAAAGTAGTTTCCCTTATCTATTTTATTATTTCTAGTAATATAGTGTTGCTTGGAAACACTTATATAATGCAAAAAACTGTCAGGGGCCATTCTACAAGGACAAAACTATAATGGCATGCACTTTTAAATACACACTTCTTCAATAACTCTCAGTATATATTCCTGGAGAGAACACTGAGAAAACAAATCCTAAATATCATTTCAGTACAACCATTTAGAATTACCGATAGCAATACCAAGAATGGAAAAGACTTCAATTCATTTTAATGATGTTGTGATTACACTATAGTACAATGAAATATCGTAAGGATATTTGGAAGCATATGAAACCTTTGAAATACAAAAGCATACCATTTTTCCAGTACTAATTTCACCTATGAGTGCAGTCATTAGCAATGTAATGTAAGATATACTATACCTGACAGGACAGAAAATATAGTGCAGTCTGAGTTTTCTGGTAACATACATTATATACAGTACATTAAGATAAAAAGAACAGCCATTAGGTAAAGTTGTACCTAATAATAAATTTCTTGAATGAAGAATCTCTTATAAAGGCCATCTCTTTTCAACTTTAAACCAGGAACTGTTTCATAAACAAGAATTTCCACAGGATTTAGTACTAGAGCTAGAACAAGGAGGAAAAAGAAAATAAATTCAAGCAATACATGTTTAAGACACTGGAACATTTAAAAAGATCATTGCTAGAATTGCTATACCAGCACATTAAGTGATATGAGAAGAAGCACTCTTGTTGGTGACTTGAAGTTGAACATTGAAAATTGTTGAACAAGGCATTTAAGAGGGAAAACATTAGGACCCATCATCCAACAATGGACACCTCAGCCACTTTGGACTAGTATATTCTACTGTTTTGTTACAGTAATTGCACATAACTACTATAATTAGATAAACTTTAGGGGCTCCTTTCTCCCTCCTTTTTGCAACTATTGGGGCAAAACTTGCTAGAATGGGGACCCACAGGGCCATCTATTCCAACTCCCTTCTTCCAGGAAGAACGGAACCATCAAAACTCTCCTGACAGATGGCCATCCGGCCTCTAAATTAATATGCTTCCCCTATTAAGTTGGAAAGGACCCCCAACAGCTATCCATGTAGGGATTTCTTCTCAGCCCAGAACTGATTTACTTACTATAAGTATCAGTCAGTCCTCCGTGTTGCAGATTCAACAAATTATTGGAACTCCGGCTGGCTGCTGCTACGAAGAGACAAATCTCTTCCCAATCCTGATTTGGGCTTTCTGATGCTGAGCAGAATTCTGGGAAATGTAGTTTAGGGCAGGGCCTTTTGTATCCTCTGGCATAGGGCTCCTTGCCTTCCCAAACTACACTGCCCAGGGTTCTGTACATTTTAAATGTCGTTGTGTTATTGTTAATGTTTACTGCTTATTTTTGTTATGATTTTATTTTATTGTTTTGTATTATTTGTTGTTATTGCTTTTATTATTGATGTATTGTGGGCTCGGCCTCATGTAAGCTGCACCGAGTCCCTTGGGAGATGGTAGCGGGGTATAAATAAAGTTTTGTTGTTGTTCATTCGTTCAGTCATCTCCGACTCTTCGTGACCTCATGGACCAGTCCACTCCAGAGCTCCCTGTCGGCCGTCACCACCCCCAGCTCCTTCAAGGTCAGTCCAGTCACTTCAAGGATGCCATCCATCCACCTTGCCCTTGGTCGGCCCCTCTTCCTTTTGCCTTCCACTTTCCCCAGCATAATTGTCTTCTCTAGGCTTTGCTGTCTCCTCATGATGTGGCCAAAGTACTTCAACTTTGTCTCTAGTATCCTTCCCTCCATTGAGCAGCCGGGCTTTATTTCCTGGAGGATGGACTGGTTGGATCTTCTCGCAGTCCAAGGCACTCTCAGAACTTTCCTCCAGCACCACAGTTCAAAAGCATCTATCTTCCTTTGCTCAGCCTTCCCTAAGGTCCAGCTCTCACATCCGTAGGTTACTACAGGGAATACCATGGCTTTGACTAGGCGGATCTTTGTTGCCAGTCTGATGTCTCTACTCTTTACTATTTTATCGAGACTGGACATTGCTCTCCTCCCAAGAAGTAAGCGTCTTCTGATTTCCTGGCCACAGTCTGCATCTGCAGTAATCTTTGCGCCTAGAAATACAAAGTCTGTCACGGCCTCCACATTTTCTCCTTCTATTTTCCAGTTGTCAATCATTCTTGTTGCCATAATCTTGGTTTTTTTTTATGTTTAGCTGCAACCCAGCTTTTGCGCTTTCTTCTTTCACCTTGATTAGAAGGCTCCTCAGCTCCTCCTCGCTTTCGGCCATCAGAGTGGTGTCATCTGCATATCTGAGGTTGTTAATGTTTCTTCCAGCAATTTTCACCCCAGCTTTGCATTCATCAAGCCCCGCACATCGCATGATGTGTTCTGCATACACGTTAAAAAGGTTGGGTGAGAGTATGCAGCCTTGCCGTACGCCTTTCCCAATCTTGAACCAGTCTGTTGTTCCGTGGTCAGTTCTTACTGTTGCTACTTGGTCCTTGTACAGATTCCTCAGGAGAGAGACAAGGTGGCTTGGTATGCCCATCCCACCAAGAACTTGCCACAATTTATTATGATCCACACAGTCAAAGGCTTTAGAATAGTCAATAAAACAGAAATAGATTTTTTTTCTGAAACTCCCTGCCTTTCTCCATTATCCAGCAGATATTGGCAATTTGGTCTCTCATTCCTCTGCCTTTTCTAAACCCAGCTTGTACATCTGGCAACTCTCGCTCCATGTATTGCTGGAGTCTTCCTTGCAGGATCTTGAGCATTACCTTACTGGCATGAGAAATAAGGGCCACTGTACGGAGTTTGAGCAGTCTTTAGCATTTCCCTTTTTTGGTATGGGGATATAAGTTGATTTTTTTCCAGTCTGATGGTCATTCTTGTGTTTTCCATATTTGCTGGCATATGGCATGCATCACCTTGCCATTTATCCCAGTTCAAAGCAGACAATGTGAGATTGTATTCAGCTGTGTGGAAGGGGCCCCAGGAAGCTCTTCCATTTGGGGAAGAGGGGAGCGCATTCTTCCCAAAGGCCACACCTGTAAAGACCCTCAAGGCAGGTGAGAGCCGAGCTCATGGAGGAAGCGCGTGCTTTCCCGCGGGCGGGCGCGCCTAGGCCCCGCTGCACGCCGTGCCAGATGGACAGGTCTCAGGGTGCCGGGCTAAAGCGAGGCCTATCATTGCCTGGCGCCCTGCTCGCCGCCTGCCCCTCAGGCTCCGCCGGGAAGAGACTGGAGTAGGCTTGTGCCCATTCTGAGGGAATGTTCGGCGCCAGGCCTTTTGAGGGAAAAGCAGGGATGAGGGGAATATGCAGAACACGTGGAGCAGCCCCCTCCCTCCGGTCCCTGCGTTTCCGTTGCCTAGAGACCAGCCCTTCACAGGTGCCCCAAGTATTTATTATTGAAGGGGAAGGGGAGAGAAGGAGGGAAACCTTGCTGCGCCTGCGCGACCCAGTTCTTCCTCTCAGCTCGCCTACCTAAGCCTAAGCCTCCAGCGCTGCAGTGCTCCTCGCTCCTCACCGGGCTTGACATCCCCCGTCCCGTCCTCCTTTTCTTCCTTCCTTCCTCTCAGGTCAGTCGCCCGCCGCTTCCGGGAAGGCAGAAGCGCACCAGGAAGAAGCGCTTCCAGGGCAAAGGACGAAAAGGTCCCGAACGGCCACGCGCCCAAGCAGCAGCCTATCACAGGCGGCGCGCGGCCTAAGAAGGCGTGGCGTCGCGAGGCTGAGGGACTGCGCCTGCGTGCGGAGGACAAAACAGGAAGGAAGGAGGGGGTCGCCGTCTCTCCGCGCGCGACCGGTGAGGCAGCGTTTGCGTGTGTGTCTCGTTTCCATGGGAACCACTGACGCTTTCCTTTCGGACTGGGGGAGGGGGACTAGCAAAGAGGGCGCTGCCTGGGAGAGAGGCCTTCTCCCTTCCCCTCCGTCTCCCTGGCTCACTTCTCAGCCCTTCATGGGTCTCCCTGGGTGAGACACTCAGGCCCAGCCTTTCCTCCTGAGGGCGGCTAATGTGAGGACAAGCCCAAAGAAAGGCAGCCCCAGGCCCCTTCCACACGGCTGAATAAAATCCCACATTATCTGCTTTTAACTGGAATATATATATATATATATATATATATATATTTACTGTATTTGCCTTTCACCCAGCATTCTCTCCTGATGTTTCTAAGGATGCCTGCCATCGATGTGGGCGAAATGTCAGGAGAGAATGCTGCTGGAACATGGCCAAATACAGCCCAGAAAACTTACAGCAACCCAATTTTGTATTTCTTCCCTCCTAAGGCATTCCTTTTTTCCCATATAAATATCTCTGAAACAGGGTGCATCTTAGAATCACAGGTGCTTGTGTGTGTGTATATCAGGGTTTCTCAACCTGGGGGTCGGGACCCCTGAGGAGGTCGCGAGGGGGTGTCAGAGGGGTCGCCAAAGACCATAAGAAAACACAATATTTTCTGTTGGTCATGGGGGCTCTGTGTGGGAAGTTTTACCCAATTCTATTGTAGGTGCAGTTCAGAATGCTCTTTGATTGGAGGTGAACTATAAATCCCAGCAACTACAACTCCCGAATGTCAAGCTCTAATTTCTCCAAACTCCACCAGTATTCACATTTGGGCAAATGGAGTATTCGTGCCAAGTTTGTTCCAGATCCACCATGGCATGAGTCCATGGTGCTCTCTAGATATAGGTGAACTACAACTCCCAAACTCAAGGTCAATCAAACCCTTCCAGTGTTTTCCATTAGTCATGGGAGCCAAGTTTGGTTCAAATCCATCGCTGGTGGAATTCAGAATGCTCTTTGATTATGTGAACTATAAATCCCAGCAACTACAACTCCCAAATTACAAAATCAATCCTCTCCCAACCCCACTAGCATTCACATTTGGGTGTATTGGGTATTTGTGCCCACTTTGGTCCACTGAATGAAAATGCATCCTGCATATCAGATATTTACATTATGATTTATGACTGTTATGAAGTAGCAACGAAAACAATATTATGGTTGGGGGTCACCACAACATGAGGGACTAGATTAAGGGGTCACGGCATTAGGAAGGTTGAGAACCACTGGTGTATATATATATATCTATATATATAAAAAGAGAAAGGGTGTTCAACGGGACAGCAAAACGCGAAAACCCCTGGACCAAAACTCCCCAAACTTGGCGCGCACATACCTCAACCCACAAGGTATGCACAACTCTCATCAAAATAGTAAACAACATTTCAACAAACCCACAATTTCCAAAACAAAGGGAGCATGCGCAGAGGCGCCCCGGCGCGCACATTGCTGGACAACGCTCCCTCGCCGCAAACCACGCCCCTCCCTTCACCGTCCCGCCCCTACCCGCCCTGACTCAATTCTTTCCCTCCACCTCCTCCTCCGCCGCCAACCACGCCCCCTCCCTTCGCCGCCCTGCCATTTCCCGCCCTGACTCAATCCTTCCCTCCTCCCACGCCCCCTCTGGGAAGTCACGCCCCCTTCCTTCCCCCCCCCCTTCCTGCACTTCCACTCCCTCGCCTGTCAGTCTTGCTCCCAGCACTTCCGGCGGAACCGCCATAACAACCGAGGCCTCGCCGAGCGACGCGGTGGTTGCAGCCTCCTAGGCGGCGGGCCCAATCAAGGAAGAGGAAAAACATCGAAGGAAGGAAGGAAACAGAGAAGGAAACATGGAAGCAAAGAGCAAGGAAGGAAGGAAGGAAAGAGGTAGAGAAGGAAGAAAAGAGAGAAAGAGGAAAAGAAAAGGGATGGAAAGAAATGGGTAGAGAAAGAAGGAAGGAGATAAGGAAAGAAAAGGAAGGAAAGAGGAGCGAAGGAAGAAGAGACAGAAAGAGAAAGAGTGGGGAAGGAAGGACAGACAAAAGGAAGAATGGAAACAAAAACCAAAGGAAGGAAGGAAGGAAAGAGGCAGAGAAGGAAGGAAGAGAAAGGGAAGGAAAAGAAATAAGGAAGAAGGAAAGAGGAAGAGAAGGAAGGAAGGAGAGAAGGAAAGAAGAGAAGGGAATGAGGGAAAGAAGGAGAGAAAGAGGGAGGTAAGGTGGGCCACAGCAACGCGTGGCAGGGAAAGCTAGTATATATATAAATGTAATGTTTGTTTGTAGGATTAACATAACTCAAATATCACTGGACGAATTGACACCAAATTTGGACACAAGACACATTACAGGCCAACAAGTGACCATCACTCATAAAACACTGGAAAATACAGCAAAAGAGACTTTAAAAACCAAAACTACATTACAATGCATGCACAAAACTACATATATATACACAAACACACATATACACACACAAAACATCATGTCCCAAATGCACTTTACTAGAGATTTAAGATTGTCTACATACCGCACATATCTCCAAAAACTTATTCATTTCACCTGGTGATGCCCAGCATTTTTAAATTTTTTAATCATTACATTTGGCCCGGCCTTAGTTTTTAAATACGTTGTGGTGCTATTGTCTAATGTGTACTGCTATTGTTTTAATGCTTATTGTTTTGTTTTTATGAGTTTATTTATTGTTGTATTTGTTATGCTGTTGTTTTACTGATGTGTTGTGCCTTGGCCTCTTGTAAGCCACACCAAGTCCTTCAGGAGATGTTAACGGGGTATAAATAAAGGTTTATTAAAACACATATACACAACGCGTGGCAGGGGATGGCTAGTATGTGTATGTATGTATATGGATATCTCAAAAAAGCTTTTTTTCTGTTGGTCATAATGAAATTAGTGTACGTCTTACAATCAATGGCATTTTTCAGAATGGAAGACGTATGGTATTTTAATTGAAGTATGAAGGCATGTGACTGGTTCAAAGAAAAAGAAACAGAAGTATTTGTTTATTTTACTTACAGGATTTTTACCCTGCCCTTCTCAACCCCAGGGGGGGACGGACTCAAAGCAGCTAACAAAGGCAGCAATTTGATGCCACAAATCAATAACACAGTATAAAACCATAAATACATACAGAGTTAAAACAATAGCAATTAATTATAACCAAATTATCATAACAGTCATTAATTTTAAACAGTACTCAGTCCACTAACCCATTGATAGAACAATAAAACCGTATCCTCATATATATCGTCTTGCCAATCCATTTCCAATCAAAGTGCTGCTTTATGTTTATTGTCCAAAAGCCTGGTCCCAAAACCAAGATTTTAATTTCTTCCTAAAAGCCAGGAGGGATGGGGTCAATCGTATTTCATTTGAAAGCGTGTTCCACAGGTAGGGGCCTACAGCCGAGAAGGCCCTGTCTCTTGTACCCTCCAGCTGCGTTTGCGATGTTGGCGGGAGCGAGAGCAGGGCCTCCCCAGATCATCTTAAGTTACAAGCTGGGACATAGAGACAGATGCGTTCGGACAAGTAAGCTGGGCCAGAACTGTATAGGGCTTTATAGGTTAAAACCAGCACTTTGAATTGAGCTTGGAAGTAGACAGGCAGCCAGTGGAGTTGACACAACAAGGGGGTGGTATGCTTCCTGTATGTAGTTCCTGTTAGTAATCTGGCTGCTGCCCGTTGGACAAACTGCAGTTTCCGAACCATCTTCAAAGGCAGCCCCATATAGAGTGTGTTGCAGTAATCTATTCGGGATGTGACCAGAGCGTGGACCACCATGGCCAGATAAGACTGGACACTTATTTTTTCAAAACAGAAAGTTCATATGCTTTTTTGATCCTTTTCATTTTTTATTTTACAGTGAAGAAGAGAATCAATATGTCTTCTATCCCTGCTTCACATTCTCCTTCCAAGCTAACTGTGGCATCACAAGTTCCTTTTGGAGATCTTTGTTCAACCTTAGAACGAATGCAAAAAGAGAAATCTCGACCAGAGAAAACAAAATATTTCAAAGAATTTTTAGACTCCTGGAGGAAATTTCATGATGCTCTTCATAAAAATGAGAAGGATGTCACAGATTCTTTTTATCCTGCAATGAGACTGATTCTTCCCCAGTTGGAAAGAGAGAGGATGGCTTATGGAATTAAAGAAACGATGCTTGCTAAGCTCTATATTGAACTGCTGAACTTACCCAAAGATGGGAAAGATGCTTTAAAACTTCTTAATTACCGAACACCTACTGGTTCACGGGGGGATGCTGGAGACTTTGCTATGATTGCCTATTTTGTGCTGAAGCCAAGATGTCCCAAGCAAGGTCAGCTGACCATACAACAGGTAAATGATATTTTAGATTCTGTGTCTACCAATAATGCTGCTAGAAGAAAAGATCTGGTGAAAAAATATCTTCTGCAGTTAATAACTCATAGCACAGCACTTGAACAGAAATGGTTGATCAGAATGATCATAAAGGATTTGAAACTTGGGATTAGCCAGCAAACTATATTTTCTATATTCCATCCTGATGCTACTGAATTGCACAGTGTTACCACTGATTTGGAGAAGGTTTGTAGACTGTTGCACGACCCTACTGTCTTCCTTAGTGATGTTTCTATTACATTATTTTCTGCCTTTAAGCCAATGCTTGCTGCTATTGCTAACATACAGCAGATTGAAAAACAAATGAACAACCAGAGTTTCTACATCGAAACCAAATTAGATGGTGAACGGATGCAGATGCACAAAGATGGAGATGTTTACAAATACTTTTCCCGAAACGGGTTTGATTACACTCAGCAATTTGGTGCGTCTCCCCTTGAAGGCTCATTGACCCCGTTCATCCATAATGTTTTTGAAAACAATGTTCAGAACTGCATTTTAGATGGTGAAATGATGGCCTACAGTCCCACGACGCAGACCTTCATGCAAAAGGGAAACAAATTTGATATCAAAAGGATGGTTGATGATTCTGAATTGCAGACATGCTTCTGCGTCTTTGATGTTCTCATGATTAATGATCAAAAGTTGGGCCATGAGACGCTGAGCAAGAGATATGAAGTACTAAATAAAATCTTTACACCAATACCAGGTCGAATACAGGTGGTATCAAAAACCCAAGCAAACACTCGTAAAGAAGTAGTAGATGCTCTAAATGAGGCAATAGATAACAGGGAAGAAGGCATTGTAGTGAAGGACCCAATGTCAGTTTACAAGCCAGATAAACGTGGAGAAGGATGGCTGAAGATCAAACCAGAGTATGTTAACGGATTGATGGATGAACTTGACCTCTTAGTTGTTGGAGGCTACTGGGGAAAAGGTCTTCGTGGTGGCATGATGTCCCATTTTTTATGCGCTGTTGCCGAAACTCCACCACCTGGTGAAAAACCATCTGTATTTCATTCCATTTGCCGTGTTGGTTCAGGTTACACCATGAAAGAGCTGTATGATCTTGGCTTGAAATTAGCTAAACACTGGAAGCCATATCGTAAAAAGGATCCTCCCTGTAGTATCCTGTGTGGAACTGAGAAACCTGAAGTCTATATTGAGCCTTGTAATTCAGTCATTGTTCAGATTAAAGCAGCGGAGATTGTCAATAGTGATATGTACAAAACAGAGTGCACTTTACGGTTCCCTCGCATTGAGAAAATAAGAGAAGATAAAGAATGGCATGAATGTATGACACTTGACCTTCTCGAACAACTCAGAGGCAAAGCTTCTGGGAAGCTAGCAACTAAGCACCTTGATATTAGCGATAATGAGCCACAAGAAAAGAAACGCAAGACTGTGCCAAAGGTTAAAAAGAAACTTGGCCTAATGGACCACTTCAAAGCCCCTGATCTTTCCAGCGTAAGTAAAGTTTCCAGTATGTTTCATGAGGTTGAGTTCTGCGTTATGAGTGGGACAGAAAGCTATACAAAATATGAACTAGAAAGCAAAATAGCAGAATTTGGTGGCAGCATAGTACAAAATCCAGGGCCGGACACTTACTGTGTTGTCGCAGGAACGGAGAATGTTAGAGTGAAAAATATTATTTCTTCTGATAAGCATGATGTCGTGAGAGCGGAATGGGTTGTACAGTGTTTTCAGACCAAACAATTTGTGCCTTGGCAGCCTGCTTTCATGATTCACATGTCTCCAGAAACCAAACAACACTTTGCCCGTGAGTATGATTCCTATGGTGATAGTTACACCGCTGATGTCAGTGTGGCCCAGTTAAAGGAGATCTTCTCAAGAATGAATGACTTGGAGGAAAAGATCTCATGGGAGGTGATTGCTGACATAGAAGCACGTTATTTATGGGACAGCTCTGGGTTGTGTTTGTTCAGGCAGTGCACCGTTTACCTGGATCCTTCTGATGAAGCGAGCAATTCAGGTGCCACGATCAGTCAAACCAGACTGTTAACTAAGGCACTGACCCTTCGCTTTCATGGAGCAAGAGTTGTCCCACAGCTTGAGGAGGGAGTGTCCCATGTCATCAGTACAGATGGTGCTGATTTGACGAGACTAAAGACAATCAGAAGAACATTTGAAAGAAAATTTAAAATAGTCTCTGAGCAATGGGTAAAAGATTCTATAAAGGCTGGGAAGCTGCAAAATGATAATAGTTACTTAATTTGAATGATGTTAATTAAAAAAGATAATTGCTTACCTTTTTATATATCTATTTGAAATAAATTTGCCACACCCTCATTCATTTTTCTGTGCCCTTTTGCAGTTTAAAGATAATGTTGGAAATGGCACAGACACACCCTTGAAAAATACATAGGACGTGTTTTTTAAACTTTCTGCTTCGTGTAGCTATATTTTATGGGAAATCCAAATGTTTTTACTCAGAACCCACTCTACAAATGAGTTAATGTATAATATACTAACCAAAGAGAATAGATTCCCACTAAAACCAAAGCCAGTGTTATGTTTATGAATGAGGCTATGGATCATTTTTAAAAATCATATCTACTGAAATACATGGTCCCATTCATTTTTAAATTTTTCTTGTGATGGTATAACCTTTGAATAAAGAAATTGTCCATATAAGAAATATAATAATAATAATAATAATAATAATAATAATAATAATAATAATAATAATAATAATTAGGTTCTTGTGGGTTTTTTCGGGCTATAGAGCCATGTTCTAGAGGCACTTCTCCTGACGTTTCGCCTGCATCTATGGCAAGCATCCTCAGAGGTTGTGAGGTCTGATAATAATAATAATACTTTATTTATACCCTGCCACCATATCCCCAAGGGACTCAGAGCGGCTTACATGAGGCCAAGCCCGACAACACATCAATAAACAAAAAAGCAATAAACAAAAAACAATACAATTAATATAAGTCACATATAAACAATAACACACAAAGATTTAAAAACCTATGTATCAATTTTAAAATAATGATGCTATAATTACATATTTTAAGCCTTGTCAAATAATCAAAAGCACAGTCTTTGTTGTACTTTAGGAAATACTGAGAACTGTTGTCTTTAAATTAATCAGGCCAATGTTGATTTTATGCATGTTCAAAAATGCAAAATAGAAACTTGAAAGAATACTTAGGTATAGTTCCACGGTTGTGATAATAAAAGTATGTTTATTATAAAGGGGCAGTTGTTTGGACTTTATATATGAATTGCGTTGTATTTTTACACACTGTGTTGATTTTTGCAGCCTTAGGGAGTGTATTCCTGTAACATCAACATAATAATAATAGTAATAATAGTAATACTTTATGTAACACTTCAGGCTATAGTTTTGATCGCACCAATAAAGGCATTGTGGCTCTTCCAGAGTTCTTTTCTAGTTAGTTTGAACAAACAAATATCAAAACATCATTTCAGGATTTGTAATTTTTTAAATAACTGCTATTCCTTAGCTGGGCATTGACACAGGAGAGGGGAATAAATTTCTTGTGTTTTGTCTTAATCTGCATTTAAGTAGAATTTCTGAATATAATTATACAAATTATGTTTTTTCCAAAGATATGTGGTTGTGTCTTATAATAAAAGAGGAATTTGCTCAGAAGGTGTCAGTTTGAGTGTTTTTCAAATGTTAGCATATTTAAAGTTGAAAGCTCTGCATCGTTCTAAATATAATAAAAGTGAAAATATGTATGTGTGTGCAGCTGAGGTGTCCACTTACACAGACAGTCTCCTGTCTCCACAAACAGTTATAGCTCCCACGACTCGGGAGATACCAAAGGCCCTCCCTCCAATGAAATTGATTGCAGACTATAATGACTTCCACAAACACCATACTTCCCACCTCCCAAGTGAATGCTTACATACGGGGACAATTTCATCCTAGATTTTCTGTTTTTCCTCCTCCACAGACATCCCAGTGTTTCTTTCTCTCTCAATTGCTGTGGAATTTGCATGACCCCACCCACTGCCTCTCCCATAACCCTTTCCTATTCTTTTCTGTGGCACACAGCAAACAGAGGGTTTGATTAGCAACTGAACATACTTGAGAGGTGTGGGGAGAATTCACCATGATTTGTAGGAGTTGTAGGTACTGGGATGTATAGTTCACTTGCAATCTAAGAGCACTCTGAACTCTACCAACAATGGGCCTGGAACTAACTTGGCACACAGAGCCCATGACCACAAAAAATATTGGAGGGCTTTGGAGGGATTTATAGGCATTGCAGTTCACCTACATCCAGAGCACACTGTGAACCCAAACAATAATGGCTCTGGACCAAATTTGGCATGCATACCCAATATGCTCAAATTTTAATACCAATGGGATTTAAGGACAATTGGCCTGGACATTTTGGAATTGTAGGTCCTGGGATTTATAGTTCACCTGCAATCAATGAGCACCTGAACTCCACCAAAAATAGAATTGGACCAAACTTGGCACACAGAGCCCCCATGACCAGCAAAAAAATACTGGAGTTCTTTGGGGAAAAATTACCTTGATTTGGGGGAGTTGTAGTTCACGTACATCCAGAGAGCACTGTGAACCCAAACACCGATGGATGTAGGCCAAATTTGGCACACATACCTGCAAGAACGTTGCCCAGGGGACGCCTGGATGATTTGATGTTTTTATCATCCTTGTGGGAGGCTTCTCTCATGTCCCCGCATGAGGAGCTGGAGCTGATAGAGGGAGCTCATCCGCCTCTCCCCGGATTCGAACCCGCGACCTGTCGGTCTTCAGTCCTGCCGGCACAGGGGTTTAACCCACTGTGCCACCGGGGAGTGCTCTCTGGATGGAGGTGAACTACAACTCCCAAACTCAAGGTCAATGACCACCAAACCCTTCTAGTGTTTTCTGTTAGTCATGGGAGTCCTGTGTGCCAGGTTTGACCCAATTTCATCATTGGTGGAGTTCAGAATGCTCTTTGATTGTAGGTGAAATATAAATCTCAGCAACTACAACTCCCAAATGACAAAATATTTTTTTGAGTGATGGTCACTCGTGCCCTGATAGGTGTCTTGTGTCCAAATTTGGTGTCAATTGGTCCAGTGGTTTTTGAGTTATGTTAATCCCACAAACGAACATTACATTTTTATTTATATAGATATGTAGTATGAGACCTATTTTAATAATAACTTTCAAGCAACCAGCAATTACATTTATCCTGCATCTTCCAATCTCCATGGCTGCTGGTTAACTGAGAGTCTACTGTATGACAAAACAAAATTTTCAAAAAAATTAATAATTCCCCCCCTCCCAAATGGCTATATATGATGGAAGGACTCAGTGTCCCCTGATGGGACTCCTCTCAAATGTCTGAGTCGTTCACGCAAGTAACCTAGCAGAAATTATATGAAACCTAACACTTCTCCAGCTTCCTCCTGATTTTGGAAAAGTGCTGCAGGTCAGCGTCCTGATGAAGCGGTGGGACAGATAGCTTTGTATGATAATTGGTGTGGGGAACACTTTCCTGAACCTCGAACACACAGCTGCCCTGCAGCCGTTCTGCGGCTGTTCTCAAGTGGCAGAACTAAAGCTGAATTAACGTTTTCATCAATATTGTAAGTCCCATAGAGACAAATTACCAGAAACGCTTTTGTTGCTTGCCGCAATGAGTTGTCAACAGTCTCACCTTTCTAAAAATATCCTGCGTCCTAACTTCACCTGCAGGCTGAAGGAAGCCTGGAACATGCTTATTTGCTAAAGAAGCTTTCTATTTAAAAGAAAATCTGTCTTATTTGCTTCGATCAAAGATGGAAGTGCGGAACAAATTAAATTTGATGGTTATGAATACTGATTTCAAAATGGATGTTAACATCTCAATTTTTTATTATCTGCTGCAATCTCCCAGGTGCTTTCTACTCCAGAGCACTTGCCTATGAACGTTTTGGCCATGCTTTCCTGAGTCCCGGGTGAAACGCTTTGACATGTTTTACATTTTCACCCATGTATTCCTTGTACACAGCAAAAAAGCAACATGGTGATTCTAAAGATATATACATTTGTGCAACTTTATTTAGGAAATTGCTCTTAACAGTAAAAGGAGAAAACCTTAGGGGAGAAACATTGAAACTGGAGCAATGTGCAGCCATGCTTACACAAGTCACTACATATCTTAAGGGGGGAGCAAGAGAAGCAGAGACAGGTTCTCAAAGGCTGGATTTATTCATTTGTTTATTTATTTATTTATTTACAGTATTTATATTCCTCCCTTCTCACCCCACAGGGGACTCAGGGCGGATTACAATGTACACATACGTGGCAAACATTCAGTATCATAGACACACAACACATATAGACAGACAGTCAGGGGCTATTTAACATTCCAATTTTCTGGCCACCAGGGGAGCTGTCGCTTCACCGTCCATCTGCGACACTGATGAAGTACTTTCCGCATTCCCCACATGCTTTTTCTGGAGTCTTTTTTATGGCCTCATAAATTTGTTAAATTAGCCTCCCCACACATAGGTGGTACCTAAATTTCCTACTTGACAGATGCAACTGTCTTTTGGGTTGCAAAGGTCGACAACAAACTACACAAATTGGCCAGAAGCTCACTCAGACCCGGGCTGGCTTCGAACTCATGATCTTTCAGTCAGTAGTGATCTTAATGCAGCTGATACCCAGCCAGCTGCGCCATAATCCCGGTGGATCTCCATTGCCCTGTATCCCAGGATCTAATCCCAGATTATCTGCTTTGAACTGAATTATATGAGTTTCCACTGCCATATAATAGGTATGTGTGCAAAATCAGTTCTTACTGTTTCTGTCATTTCTTTTGTGTCTTCCGTTACTTCAGAAGCATGAAACAGGAAGCCCCCTCCCAACATGAAAATCTGCTCCACATGAAAGCGTGCTTTTGTGTGCATCCGAGTTTGCCTCCTTGCCTTGGGAATAGAGTGTGTGTTATGTCGCCTGTAAAGAATTTCCTTTAGAACAGGACGTGCAACCTTTGCCCAGCGGGAAGCCAAAGGGCCCAAAGAGAAGTTCTCAGAGGTTTCCACCACAAACAGTCTTTAGATGGCTTGTGAAGTATAACAAAGTTCTTTATTAATGAACAATCAAACAGAAACTTTTCTTGTCTTTAGAAAGTTAAGCAAATTATTCCAACCTTTTAGGCAACTGGTGAATTCCTAATCTTGCCCATGAAGGACTGGCAACTATCTTCAATAACTTCTTCTTTAAAGGAAAATCCCCTTTTTAACTTCTCCCAGGCTGACTGTAATCTAACCCTTACTGATGTGGGCTCCGCTACCGGGTCGAACTGCTTCTTGAACGCCGAGTGGACCTACCAGTAAGGCAGTAGATGTTCTCCAGCTGGAGTTCTTTGGTCTTTAGGGCTGTTTTCCTGGAAATTCTTAAAGGTTGAAGCTTTTGTACAGGGGAAGCTTTCACACATCCTGTACATTGGCTTTCCTTGCTGAGACTAACTAAAAAATGGCTCCGTTCCCTTCCCAATTGCCCTGAGCAAGGGGCGGGACCAAAACTTAACGATGATGGACAGGTGACTTGCCCTATGACTGCAACCAAAATAAGCCACCTATCTGCAGAGTCCCTGAAACCCAGGACTGCAACCAAACATTTAATACAAAGCAAATAAAATTGGAGCTCCTGGTACAGCTGTACCAGAACAGTGCGTGTCTGGCAGGGCAGGCAGGCAGGCAGGTCCAGAGCACCCCTACAGCTGAGCACCTCTCAAAGTAAGATGCGCTTAACTGCAGGCTTTCCAGCCCCATCTGCACATCCCTGCCACACACACTCTCTCCTTTTAGGAGAGTGTTTGTGTGGCAAGGTGTGCAAGCAGGCCCGGAAAGCACGCACGCCTGCCAGTGCCTACAGCCAAGCACTTTTTACTCTAAGAGTAGAAACAACAAGTGCCAAATGAGCAGAATGCACACCAGGAAGGGGAGCCAGTGGGTGATAAACCCCTCCAGCCATAATGATCCAATTTTCGAGCCCCATAATAAAAGAACCAAAAATGATAATTTGGTTATAATTAATTGCTATTGTTTTAACTCTGTATGTATTTATGGTTTTATACTGTGTTCAGGCATGTAGCCAGGGGGCTTCACCCCCCCCCCCCCGAAATTCTCATGGTGGTCCGCGAGAAGGCCTTACTGGTACATTATTTAAACTGTTATGTTTATAAATATCATGATCTGATTACCATTCTCAATATATCTCATATGCATGGGGGTATTGGGGTAACAATACAAAAGGTTTGCTAGGGTAGACCCTCTTTCACTCAAACTCAGCCCCCCCCCCCCCCCCCGAATCAAAATCCTGGCTACGGGCCTGACTGTGTTATTGATTTGTGGCATCGAATTGCTACCTTTGTTAGCCACTCAGAGTCCTCTCCCCCCCGGGGGGGGGGGGGTTGAGAACAGTGGGGTAAAAATGCTGTAAATAAATAAAAACAACCCTCCCAATTTTGGGAGGCTTACAAAGAATGGATCGGGGCCCCAATGAAAGCCGGAACACAAAACAGGACAAGGTTTCCCCCAAATGGACATGTCTACCATGTAATATGGGGTAAGCAGATAATCTGGGATCAAATTATGGGACATAGAGCAGTGCAGAAGGGACCAGAGTGTATTTTCTCTTTCTTTCATTTGCTCTGATGTTTCCTCTCATATGGACTGATATGATCCACATAAAAGGTAAAAGTAAAGGTGTTCCCCTGACATGAAGTCCAGTCGTGTCCGAGTGTGGTGCTCATCTCCATTTCTAAGCCGAAGAGTAGGCGTTGTCCATAGGCACCTCCAAGGTCATGTGGCCAGCATGACTGCACATTATCCACATATTTGCATTTACAGCTTTTTTCAGATTTTTTATTACAGGAGACCGTAGTTTCTGTTGAAAATTATTTTTCAGGATCATTATTTGAGACGTTAAGTTCACTGAGTCTGTTTGATACCTGACGCAAATGGTTCAGACAGGCAGCCATCGTATAGTCATCAATTATAAGCAGGGGTCCTCAAACTTTTTAAACAGAGGGCCAGGTCACAGTCCCTCAAACTGTTAGAGGGCCAGATTATCATTTGAAAAAAGCATGAATGAATTCCTATGCACACTGCACATATCTTATTTGTAGTTCAAAAAACACTTAAAAACAATACAATAATTAAAATGAAGTACAATTTTAACAACAATAAATTTCAATGGGAAGTGTGGGCCCTGTTTTATAATAATAATAATAATAATAATAATAATAATAATACTTTATTTGTACCCCGCTACCATCTCCCCAAGGGACTCGGTGCGGCTTACATGAGGCCGAGCCCAAACACAACAATACAAGCAATTAAAATAAAACATAAATGATAAACATATAACATTATCAATAAGACAACATACAGTTAAAACTGTGGGAAGGCCAAATGTAAAAATTAAAATTGGAAATGGTGCTGAGACATGGACGAAAAGGTGATAGTGGCGTTTGTGGAAGACATACGAGCAGACCTAAAAGTATAAAGTGCTTTGGAGGGACAAAGTGCTATGGGATCATTATTCTGGGAAGGCACACTGGAACAACCACGTCTTCAAGCTCCTCCTGAAGACTGCCAGTTTGGGACCACCCTACCTGCGTGACCGCATCTTCGTCTACGAACCCATGCGTTCACTTCGGTCATCTGGGGAGGCCCTGCTCGTGATCCCGCCTGCGTCACAAGCGCGCTTGGTGGGGACTCGAGACAGGGGCTTTTCTGTGGTGGCCCCCTAACTCTGGAACGCCCTCCCAAAAGATCTTAGACAGGCCCCTACATTGGCAGTCTTCAGAAAGAACTTGAAGACCTGGCTGTTCCGATGTGCCTTCCCAGATTAGGAATCTCCAATACCAAGTCCTAGAAGCACTTTAGAAGAACTAAGATTGCTGCACACCGCACACTGCACTTACTTTATAATCCTACATACCTCCTGCCACACCAGCACTTTTAATCTTGTACCCATTACTCTGGCCCGGCCCAGTTTTATAGTGTCTTGATGTATTGTTTATTGTTTGTTGTTTATTACTGCTTAACTGTTTTTAATTTGCTTTAGGTATTGTATTGTTGTATTGTGTTTTGAGGCCTGGCCTATAAAAGCCGCATCGAGTCCTTCAGGAGATGCTAGCGGGGTACAAATAAAGTTATAATAATAATAATAATAGTTATAATAGTTCCAGAGTTGAGGGGTCACCACTGAAAAGGCCCTCTCCCTCGTCCCCACCAATCGCACCTGCGATGCTGGTGAGATCGAGAGCAGGGCCTCTCCAGATGAACGAAGATGAGATAGGATTGTTGTTGATCTTGTTGTGTGCTTTCAAGTCATTTCAGACTTAGGTTGACCCTGAGCGAGGGCCGGATAAATGACCTTGGAGGGCCGTATCCGGCCCCCAGGCCTTAGTTTGAGGACCTCTGAATTATAGCATCCAAATTCAGATTTCCACCGATAGCAGAATAGGATTGAGCCTTCCTAGCTGCTCTCCCGAAGCTGAAAAAGCGGTGGAAATGTCTCGGGGAACATCCCAGAGTTGCCATGGTAGCTGCAGACAGGTTCACGCAGTCACAAACAACTAACCTTTTCGTTTTCTTGACTGGCGTTGCTCTTTAAAGTCCCATCCAAATTACATCTTCCATGGTTCACTATAGAGATGTCCTTAGCCAACAGTTCCGATTCCTTTTTAAGATGGCCTGAATGGCATGCTATGGCAGGGATGGTGTTGGCCAAGAACATTTGCAAGGGTTTCTTTTCCTCTCTGTACTGACATCTGATGTATCGTGAAAAAGCAGTCCGGTAGGTTTTATTGAAGAGTGTGTACACAAGCGGATTGACAGCTGAAGAGAGGTAGCCAATCCAGACAAAAACGTTAAGCAGCCTTTCAATGACCTCTTTATTGCATGCCTCCTTGCAAATGACTGTCATGACGTTGGTGATGAAAAACGGACACCACATCACAACAAACAAGAAGAAGACAATCCCAAGTACTTTGGATGCTTTCTGTTCGTTACTGATGGATTGCATTGTCCTTCTTCCAGAGATTCCCGACTCTTTGCTCAAAGAGCGTTGGAAGAATTTGTTGGAAATCAGAGAACTCTGAGGGAAGAAACTGAACGAGGCAAACTTGGGTCTCGAATGGAGGTCATTCATGCACAGCATGGCTTCCTTTTGGAGAGATTTGATGGTTAAAAAGTAGGTGATCACCATAATAACCAATGGGATGAAAAATGCCACAAAAGAGCCGATTAAGACAAAATTCTCATCCGCAAGCAGACAGCTTCCATTCCGGAAAACCTTGGAATGATCATGTAGCCCAAACACAGGAACCGGCATTGAAATACCTAGAAATTGGGTTACAAAAAGCAAAAGGGAAGCTAAGAATAGTAGTCATATTTTTAACATGTCACTGCTGCACACTGATAACATTCCTGGAACTGGAGCACAGTCATTATTATCCTCATAAATGACATTTTCTCTGGAGCGTGAGCTCTTCTGTGACACTTCATTTCTGCCGTGATCTAAAATCATACCGTTCATCTTAAAGCCACTGAAAACAGGATCTGGTTTGTTTAAGATAATTAATATAGATATTAATACTTATGGGGAGCCTAAGTGGAAACATTTTGTTTGTAGAATAATCTATATAAATAACAATGTAATGTTTGTTTGTGGGATTAACAGAACTCAAAAACCACTGGATGAATTGACACCAAATTTGGACACAAGACACTTAACAACCCAATGCATGTCCTTCACTCAAAAAAAAAAAAGAATTTGTCATTTGGGAGTTGTAGTTGCTGGGATTTATAGTTCACCTACAATCAAAGAGCATTCTGAACCCCACCAATAATGGAATTGAACCAAACTTGGCACACAGTTCTCCCATGACCAACAGAAAATACTGGAAGGGTTTGGTGAGCAGTGTCCTTTGGTTTTGGAGTTGTAGTTCACCTACATCCAGAGATCACTGTGGACTCAAACAATGATGCATCTGGACCAAACTCTACACGAATACTCAATATGCCCAAATGTGAACACTGGTGGAGTTTGGGGAAAATAAATCTTGACATTTGGGAGTTGTAGTTGCTGGGATTTATAGTTCACCTACAATCACAGAGCATTCTGAACCCCACCAACGATAGAATTGGGCCAAACCTCCCACACAGAACCCCCATGTGGGCCACAGCAATGCGTGGCAGGGGACGGCTAATCTATATAAATAAAAATGTAATGTTTGTTTGTGGGATTAACATAACTCAAAAACCACTGGATGGATTGACACCAAATTTGGGCACAATACACCTATCAGGCCAATGAGTGACCATCACTCATAAAAACACTGAAAAACACAACAGAAGAGAATTTAAAAGCAAAAACAATAAATATACCATTATATATACACACACACATACATACGCAAACACACACACACAGAGATATATACACAAAGATAGACACACACATATACCCACACAAAACACATATACACAGACTGGGCCACAGCAACGCATGGCAGGGGACGGCTAATAATAATAATAATAATAATAATAATAATAATAATAATAATAATAATAAATCACACAGTCCCAGAATCACAGAATCACAAGTCGGGGAGCATTCGACTTGTGATTCTGTGATACGAAATCCAGCATATATATCTCATTTGCTGTGACATACTGTGTTTTTGTATCAGTATAATAATCATAATTATTTATTTATATTCTGGCCATCTCCCCGAGTGGACTCACAGCGGATTATAGTATTTAAATGAACACAGGCAAAGATTCACTGCTTTGATTACAATGACATACAATGAGACACAAATACACAGACAAAGGCAAAGGCTTCTCCTTTCATTTCCGGCTGTGGAGGCGATGCTCATCTCCGACTCTGGGGGAGGTGCTATTTCTCCATTTCCAAGCCAAGGAGTCTGCGTCCATTGTCACCTCCTGGTTATGTGGCCGGCATGACTGCTTGGAGCAACTTTTTGCCTTTTCCTGCCAAAGCAGTACCTATTGATCTACTCACATTTGCATATTTTCAAACTGCTAGGTTGGCAGGAGCTAAGACTGACAGTGGGAGCTCACCCCGTATTTCAGATTTAAACTGCCAACCTTCAGATCAGCAGTTCATCAGCACAAAGGTTTAACCCATTGCACCACCCTATTACTTGCCCAAGCAGACAACTGTTAAAGAACTAAACAGAGGCATTATACAATATTTAATGTACCTGTCAAAATCGTCTCTCTACATTCAGGCCCCTTCTATGCTGACAAATAATCCAGATTATCAAAGCAAATAATCCACATTATCTGCTTTGCACAGGATTATATTAATCTACACTGCCATATAATCCAGTTCAAAGCAGATAATCTGGATTTTATATGGCGGTGTAAAAGGGAGCTCACACAATACACCATAAAGACATGTTGCAAATAAACTGAAAACAAGACACTGGGTTTGTTTTGGTTTTTTTCCGTGTCAGGAGTAACTTGATAAACTGCAAGTTGCTTCTGGTGTGAGAGAATTGGCTGTCTGCAAGGACTGCCATATAATCCAGTTCAATGTGGATTGTATACAGCTGTATGTAAAGGGCCTCAGTGGCACAGTCTATGCTCACAGAAACCATATATCTGCATTCCAGGGATTAAAGAAACCTCCGGGACTGTGAGTATGTACTTCAAGACTATACTTTACTGCTACATGACAGGAAACAGAAGGGTATATTTTGATTGTTTGACTACCTGGCAACAGGAGCCATACGCTGTAGCTGACAACATTAACAATCAGGAAAATATCTGGCAAACAAATGTCTTCAGTTGACGGCAGAAACACCAAGCACTGGAGTCATGATCAAGAATGGACGGGGTTTGCCCTCTATCACTTAACCTCCAATTGTCCTAATTTGGCCCTGATTAATCATCTGTCATGGCCCCCCTGGTGGCGCAGCGGGTTAAACCGCTGAGCTGCGGAACTTGGTGACCAAAAGTTTGGCAGCTTGAATCCAAGGAGTAGGGTGAGCTCCCACTATTAGCTCCAGCTTCTGCCAACCTAGCAGTTCAAAAACATGCAAATGTTAGTAGATCAATAGGTACTGCTTTTCCGGGAAAGTGATAGCGCTCCATGCAGTCATGCCGGCCACGTGACCTTGGAGGTGTCTATGGACAACACTGGCTCTTTGGCTTAGAAATGGAGATGAGCACCACCCCTCAGAGTCGGACTAGACTTATACCCTTGGCGTTTTCTTTTTCTTTTTCTTTTTTTTTGTTCTTTATTTATATGTTTTTTTCCTTATTTTAATTGCTTTTTTGTCTTCATTTATTAGTAATAGTATTT